TACGATTAAAATCAAAAAAGTTTGATATGTTTCCAAAATGCATAATTAATTTCCAAAACAATTATCATTTTCTAATGTATTAACCAAAATATGCCAATTCCACTGCAAAACTTTCACGTCTCGTTGTTTGTCCTTGAAAATTTGTCACTAACTACTTGATAATTATGCTTAATTTGTGGACAGATAGCCGGAAGTCAATATTCAAAAGTAAAAAGCCACCACGCAAATATGTCTGTGAGATTTATGTGCAACGCTTCAATGCTTATTCACTTAGATCAGCTAATTAATCACAACAGAGGAAGACAAAATTATCTTAAGTAAACTGTGTAGTCAGAGCCAAATTATGGCTAACTAACGGATGAATGAATGAATGAATAATTTTGCATTAGCTTTCCAGAAAAGTCATCAGACAAACTTTCGTTGCCATAGCATCTTCATTATCTTAACTTCCTCCTACACAAACACACTCGCATCTTGCTCACTTTTAATATTTCCATATTCTAGAATTAAAATTATTATACAATATAAAATTACGGAAGTACACAATCCCACCCAGAGTTCTATAAAGTTCGAAAGTTAAGCCTGAGCAGATTACTACCTCTGCAGTAACGAGAAAACCCTTACAAATCACTCCTAGTTTTTATGAAAGTTGAAAACAATGTATCACAGCGGAACCATTTCAAATAACACCAAAACGTAATTATAACCAAAAAAATTATAGCTTGAAGTGACTCAGGATGTGTAAAATATCTTTATAATCATGCTTATAGCTTCCCCACTGTCATGTATTTGAAAGTGTTTCTGTGCAATCACGCACCAAACCTAAACTGGACAAAACACTTCGCTTGGAAGAAGCAGGATTACAGAGACGAGTGCCAATATCATCTAACTGATCCCACGGACAAATGTTTGTAGGAGATAGCTTGCATAAATCTCTCCAGATTAGCCTCTATGAAATTCAGGCCTTTGAAAGCTGGGTTTCTTCAAATTGTGCATATTAAATGGCTAATAATAACACATTTATCAAACTGCAAAAAGAAACAAAAAGTCTACAAACATCACTGAAGATTTATATACAATCTAAAAGCAAAATTACAAATATCTAACTACGCGATAAACAAAAACTAGTATATTCGACTTTTGTCAAAAATATGACTCATAAATAGCCTGAATTTTAACCAGCCAGTTTTTAACTTGTTGGAACGTGGCTACTAGCACATAAAAAACTAACACTAGTAAAGATAACATGTAAATTCTTCAATTTTGAAAGCATTTTGCTATCTTGAGGTAATGTCTTGCTGTCCAATGATAGAATGTCAAGGAGAAGTTATGAAAAATTTACAAAGCTCAGAAGTTCATTCGTCGCGAAATAAAACTAGAATTTACAGAACAATCTTTTTGAAGACCTGCCACGTTGGAGACATAATACTTGACAAAGCGGACTACAGAATTATTAGTTAATTAACGCCAATGATTAATTAATTCAAGCCTATAAATCAAGGAACTGTGGTACAAAGCACAATGAAAAGTTTTGGTTGTAACATCAAAAAAGTCCGTATTTTACTATTCATAATGAGTCTAATAACGGCTAAATTTAAATTTCACATATATGAGAAATGCTCAGAGAAACAATTGTAGCAGAATATAACAGAATGAAATCACCAGAAGTAAAACAAATGAATTTAAAAAAAGTTGAGCGATGGATTACAATATTACAACAATAGATAAATTATTGCGCTGATGCAATTAAATGCATTCACACTATAATTCACTGTCAACTTCATTAATGTTACTTGACTTTTTTTTCCATAAACTTTAATTATAACGAGTAAGAAAATATTTTTGACACTTATTATGCAGATGGTTCTGGATAGCAAATAACTTTTCCAACATGCACAGAACCGCAACAAATGCAGAACAGAAGACAGTAAACAATTTTTCTTAAATTACTCTATAAATATATTCGTGACATAAGGAAATGAGTAATGGCTCACGCCGATGCTGCAATGCTTTTCTTTGCTGCAATAATTAGATGGTACAAAGTAGCTAGCGGTTTAGCACATTTCAGAAAATGATGTGTGAGCAGTTGGCTCGCAGAATATCGGTCATCAACAGATACATCCAGAGCACAATCAATAAAATCTCGAAATGAAGGTGACAGAGTTTCACGAGACGGAAAATCCGGCTTCCCATTCGTTGCTATCAGGTAAATCGCCTGTAAATTAACAAACAGTGACCACTATCCAAAAAGATATTAATGCTAAAAAATAACGTTAATTAACTGATGGAGATGCAATACCGACTTATTTACTTACAGAAAATTATCATAAACTTTTGCTCTATTATTTATATGTCTTGTATTTGAATTAATATAGTGCTAAAGGCAAAAGTTATTGCAAGTTATGGATTAAAAGCAAGACAATTCAGCAATGAAAAACTATCTAACTCATTTTAACGAGGGATCAATGCTGAGAATTAAATTGCTATAGAAGTTTTCACTACTAGAAATTATTACTAACTAATTAAAAAAAATCTCACAAACTAAACGACTTCCCACTGCTTGCTCTCAATAGCTCACTTATTTTGGAACCGCTATTATTTCGCCAACAGAAATATGATAAAATTATTGAAAGGAAACTTCAGTACTTTATGAATAACAGCAAACTGAGAGGATTATCACTTTCCTCAACAACAAATTGTTTCAACTTGCAAAAATCAATCACATATATTGGCTAAATCTTCACCCTCAATGGATTTTCGTTTAAATACGGTGGCTCTCCTTCAACCATTTCGATAGCCATAATACCCAATGACCAGACATCAACTTTCGGACCATACTGCTTCCTTGTCACAACTTCTGGTGCCATCCAGTAAGGAGTTCCAACCATAGTTGTTCGCTTACTTTGTTCAGGACTTATCTGAGCACAAAAGCCAAAATCAGCTGCAATAAAAAAATCCATGTATTATATACGAAAATATCATTTTTTTAAATCTTACAAAAACACAAAATTAAATTTCGACTTTTGCTGCATAAAGTGAACGAATTCTTGAAAACTAAAACAAAAACATACTTAATTTCACAGAGCCATCCATCCCAAGAAGGATATTGTCAGATTTTATATCACGATGAATTACATGTCGACTGTGAAGAAATTCCAGTGCTTGCAACACCTATAGCGGAACGTGATTAGAACTTTTACATTATTTAGTAAGTAGTTTCTTCAAAACTAATCAAAAATAAGATCAAGAATAAATCAATTAATACAAATAATCAATGATAGATAAAATAACGCATCATTAACCTCTCTGCAAACAGCAGCAATCATCCCTTCTTCCATCTGACATTCTGTTACAACATCTGTCAATGAACCCCCAGCCAAATATTCCATCACTACCTGACAAATAAAAAAGTGCATAAATATTGCAATTTATGGTAGCCAGGTTAGTGCTTTGACTCTCTTCTTCATAACGTGAACAAAAAGACTGTTCATCTCCAGCGATAGAACTGTGTAACAAATAATGCTGAAAACGTTCAAAACAAAAGCTTCGTAATGAAACTGTAACCAACAAAGTCATGCATGTGCTATTGAAATATTAACAGCAACATATTCATGACAGTCTTGGGCCATAATTTCCCTTGCCTTTGCACAACTGAACATCCTCAATTAGATGATGGCAGTCCGGCTTATTAAACAAGGAGGACAAAGACAATGAAGCAAGAGCAGACTGAACCATGGAGTACAATATCATTACTCTATTCCCAGTTCCGCTAGACTAAACCAGACAATCCTAAACTGCAAATTTAAATATTACCAAAGCATAATTCTAGATGTGAATATGAAGATTCAGTAATAAAAAATCGTCACGATTACAAAAAACAACGAAAACAACAGACATGAAAAATATAAGTTTTTACAATTTCTAAGTGTATAAATAAATCATTTTATGCAACGGAACCGATTAATCCCAAATAATCACATTTTGAATTTTCGCAACAAAAAATGATGATGAACGTATGGAAATAGCTTCTCTTATTAATTTCAGCAGGCTGTTATCTGATTATAAAATTGATATTTTCAAAAAGTCAGTATTTTCTTACCCGCCGAAATCGCCAAACTTTAAAATATACGGTCGAAGCTTAAACAACTTTCAGAACTTGCAAATGTTAAATGCAGAAACAGAGACAAAAATAAAAAGTTACACACCCAAAGATCATCTCCAACGAGATAAGAGTCGAGATAATTGACGATATTTGCATGTTTATTTTCACGCATTACCAAGATTTCGTTGATTATGAGTTCTTTTTTAGGCTGCTGAGCCAAATTCATTTGTTTAATAGCAACCTCTGCACCTGTACTGATTTCGATTGCTGTAAACACTGATCCTGATGCACTGAAATGAAACATTTAGTGAGATAAAAAACTTATACTGAATCACATTTAATACAGATTTTATTCTCCAAGTAGTTCACAGATTCCAGTCAAACTTTTAGTAAGAACCAAGAAACAAATTTTTAAAGAATTCTTTCAAATTAGCAAGTTAAACAAAGTGTTCTTGTTTTACAAAAAAAAAAGTAAACGCACTGCTTGAGTTAATTGAATCATTACTGGTCAAAGTAGATAGAGAGAAAAAGATGAACTTATATAAAAAACCTTACCCAGAACCAATTTTATTCACTTTCTGGTATTTTCGATCTGGATTTCCTATGGTAACAATTGTTCGCAATTTAGCTAACACTTCCGAATCAGAAATTTTTTTTCGACGTCCTGTTGTTCGATTACTGAGGCCGAAGTGACCAGCCGTTATTAAAGCATTGCTCATAGACAATTCTATTTTTCCTTCATCAGTTTTTGGTTTCGTGTACTGAAATAATTTTGCAAGCATGTTACTTAAATATGAAAAATCCGAAGGGTAAGCAACACATAATTATGATGAGATTACAAGGAGACCTCTCAATGTAAAAAATGATAGTATAAAAGAATTACGCCTATGATTTATTCTCATACTAAATTAACAAAGAGATGCCTTTCTCAATTGAAAATGAGAAAAAGTACGAAACACTTAGTAAGATATTCCATATAAACCAGCTGATAAACATGGATTTGTAAGTTAGTATTACTGGCAAACATACAATAGAAATAGTGCGGGCAGGGCGATCAGGTATAGGTGGTGCAGGAGTGTCATCAGATTCATCCTCATCAGGAACTACAGGTGCAGCATAATCCTGAAATTTCTGAGCACTTCGCTAAGATTAAACAATCACATTTTGAGGGAAAAATGCAAAAGTCAAAGGGCAAACCGGAGGATGTGATATATGCTGATCAGTGGTTGACGATGAATGTGATGAATTACTGTTACTTTCAGACGAAAGATTCACACTTGTACCATAAGCTGAATAGCCACCCAGCTGTCCACTTCTTGGTAAACCCGTATATGTTGTTGAAATTCCTAAACCTAAACCGTACAGTTTGCACACAGCTTTCACTGGGAATTATCCAACATCAAAAAATCAGCACTGAACTCAAATAATCATACATTTAATCTTGACTATGAACTCGTATAATAAAATTATGGACTCTTAAAGTATTTTTCATGAATTTAAAGATAAAAACTAGATCATCAACCCATTAATAGTTGTGAGAGATTGACAGCACCCTTACTTTCGCGGTTGAATTCCTTATTTTATTCATAAGTCTCATTTTACGCACAATACTACTGAATGCAAAATTAAGATTTACCCACTTTCTGAAATTTATTAAATACCTTTGGACGCAAATACAATTTGGTATTCCTATAACCGAAAATTAACAGCTATCCAAAAATGTCTAAAAAATAATGAAAAATGCTGATGATAATATTGTTAATGCGTATAATTTCACATGTTGCTTTTTACCATCATATCTTAATTTATCTTAATCTAAAATACTCAGTGAATTCATATTTACTCATCCCTAATGAAACTTGCTAAGAATAGTCATTTAAAACAACTACACACCTTGATGATGTGCAGAAGTTAGTGGTTCTCTGTGATGATATGTATTATGTTGCGATTTAGTGAGATTTCGATGATGTGTCTGTCCCTCAGGTCCAGTCTCATTCTCATTTTGATAATAACCTTTATGCGGTAATGACGAACTAGAACAAAGGCCAACGAGATTTTCTGATGTGCTGATGTCCCGCTGCTTGTGTCGTTGTTGCTCCCCATTCGAACGATTAAGTGATATAGAACCTGAAATAATAAATGCTAAAACCAAAAAGGCTTCCTTCAGTTTAGTACTTCTTGTTTCGTACTAACTTAAAAAATGATTAATATACGAAATTTATAACGCTTATAGCCTATGTAATGCCAAGTGTCTATTAACTTCATTATATATGTAAAAATAATGCGAAAATTTCAATACATGTTTACTGCACTAATAAAATCTGCAAAGAGAAAGACAAATTGAAATAAAAAGTCACATTGTCGTACAATTTGGAATACTAATACAAACTTCTATTTATTATTGATGTAATTTAAACGACCTTCAAATGATGATGGCTGCAGCCATTTCTGCTGCGAAGAATCAGCTTGTGTATAATATTTCAGGGCATCAAGCACGGCTTGAGGATTCTGCTGCTGCTCCTGCTTGCTAATTTGAGCACTTTGTAATAATTGAGCCCACATCGGTGGCATTCCCTACAATCAACATTTATAAATATACTACAGTTGAAATGAAACAACAGATTACTAACAACTTCTTTCATAACTTCCATTTAAAAATCAAATTTTTACTTCCATGATTTCCAACATCAAAAATAAAAGTGTCAAACTGTAACTGTGAATATTTTAAGTAAAACTAAATCTTACAAGTGCCAACTATTTTTTTTCGCATTATTGTGTTAAAAATAAGAAGTAATCAAAAGCAAAAATAATTACATTGAGAACTGATGCAATTAATTTTTAGACTTTAATGGCGTAAAACAAAAAGTTATGTAAGCAAAACTGCGATCAATGAAAGCTAAAACTAAGCAAAAACAAAACAGCAGTAAATTTGCGATAACCGAATTTCTAACATTTAGTAGGGATTAAATCCTAATTGCAGCTCTCTCTCAGTAGGATAAAAATTCAAAAAGTTTCAGCTTGAAACGTTGACACGAGTGGGAGAGGCAAGTAAAAAGTAACCAAAAAGAAGATGAAACTAGAAATGATCTCGTTTTCAATGTTTACATTTTCTTCTAGAAAAACTAAGCTCATGCATTTCTGCGCTATTTTAATCTTTATTACGATACAGTGTAACTTCAAATATGTCCACATTTAATATATAACGCTCTTCTTAATACAACTGAAAATATTAAATGAAATGAGAGAGAAATTTTTTAGCAACGCAGTCATACCACATTTACTCATATCTCATTATTCACCACAAATTAAATATATCAGTGAAAATATCTTTTAGATTAAATATTTTTCATTTTAAAATCCCCTGATATATGGGTAACTACATAGAGGCAATACCGCAGCTGGAATACAGATTCAGTCAGTGCCGATACTGAAGTATTATTGTCAATTACTTCTAAATACAAATCATGCAGTAACTTTAGTAAATACATACCGTGAATTCGCCGGTTTCGGGATCATAACCAACATGAATAGTGTGCTCGAAATTACTTGGTAGTGAAATAACAGGCTTGTCACTCGTTCTTTCTTTATCTTTACTTTCTAAAAACAGCAACAAATGATAAAAATCTTCCAGTTTATACACACATTCATAACTAAAGCAAAATAGGCCCCCAAATTTATTTTGCAGAAGTATTGGCACGCTTAATGAGTTCAAATGTGAGAAGATTAACTCAAAAATTTTAAAATTAGAGGAATACATTGCTAAGTAATGCTTGAAAATGTATCTTTAAGAAATGAGAACAAGAAAAATAATATCACTTTACTTACTTTTAAATGCTTTCTTCATTCTTCTTATAATAAGATTCATACATGTAAAAGCATTTTAAAAAACATTTGGATCTGTATCATAAATTTTGGTTCAAAATCATTTCTCTTCAAGAAAATGTTACTTTTTTTTAAAATCGAAAATTTAAAGATAAAAATCAAATTCAAGACGATAGCATACTTTTCCCTCCAAAAGTTTTGTTTTTTTTTGTTTTCTTGCCAACAACAGCCAAAGAGCCATAATGCTCAAAGTTCGACATTGGTTCACGCGGAAGAGGCTTTAATTCCACAAACGTATGGTCACGAAATGCATTTGAAGTGCTGCTACTGTATCTGAAAAGTCAACATTAAGAAAGTAATTTAGAATTAATACTTTTGGAGTAATTATCTACATTACTTAAGCTAGGTAAAAAAAACGATAAAAGTCATTTAACCAACAAATGTGAAATATTAAGAAGCGTTTCGTGCATAGCTTAATATTTCAGCTCAAAAGTTTTGAATACTAGAAAATGTCTTTGTAATCTGATAGCTTCACTAATTTTTTGGAAAGCAAAAATTTCTTGAACGAACCCATTTTAATGCAAATTAAATTTAGCCTAAAAAAGAAACTTTTTATCACATGCTAGAAAAATGAGTTATTTTGCGCTTAATAATTTTTACAAACCATAAAGTAAATCCATATAAAATACAATATTGTTCAAGAGTAGTGAAAAAATTAAAAATAACAATGAAAATTGTGTACTATCATCGATTATAGGACAATAATGATCACAAAATATTAATAATAATAATAATTTAAAATGCGAAGGAAGAAAAATAAACCATTTACCGTAGCGGAGGTGGGGGTGGTTTCTCTTCGTGCATAGATGACATTCTCAATACTCCAAAAACACGTCTAATAAATACGCGCAAAAGGTGGAATATTAAGTAAAATCAGTCGTAATAGCACTTATAAACAGACAGCAAGTTACACTAGTGAATGATCACCTAACGTGCAGTGACCGTCTAGCCAACGTTTGCATTAAGAATAAACATATGTCCCTTGCAACAGTCTAATAAATGTAATCAGTAAAAGGAATATATTACACTTCTCAGCAGACAACGGAAATGATCTTCTATCGATTTATTCTTATCACCTAAAATTATGCTGATTACTTCAAACAACAAGTGCCATTATAGCTTACGTTACCAAGTAAAAGCGCGTGAAAAATCCTAACACAAACAAGACCCAAGTTGAACAAAAATAGACAATTATGGCAGAAACTATATCTGATATGATCACTACTTTAAACTAACGAGACATAATCTTCAATGAAACATTAACTTTTGCTCAAAGTTATTTACTTATGTTATGCATGTCTCAACAACAATTTTTATTCAAATAAGCAAACACAATTTATTAAACGCGTTCCACAAATCAAACGGATTTACATACAAGAGTAGTAAAAAGTACACACGCACACACACACATACACACATACACACACATACATACGCATAAACATACACGAATATTGGAATTACTGCCACCTCTCCAATTATGAAGAGAAATGTGACGCCAGAAATATGCATGTATGACAAATGAGATAGATGACTTTGCACTTAAAAAATACAACGCAACGAAATAACCACACTTATTGCTCATCTCAAAGTAAAATCAACTTAAAAAATAATCGATAAACGTATAAAATAATTGTTATTGAAATTGTAACAGTAAATTTGTTGATTCTGTTAAAAACAAATATGATTCACAAGAGTAAGAAATATGCATTCTTTATGCATCATTTCATAACGGAAGTAGGGGCAAGGCATGAGAAAAATGATATAAACGAATACATGCTTTTTGCTTTAAAGAGTAGTGAAGAGAGTTCGAGTAAGAAGCAATGCAGAGATGACAAAAATTCAAGTTCCATGTTGCCGTCAATCTTTACATCCTTTGCACGTATTAATTTCTGCTCAAGTGTAAGTAGTCAGCACTTAACAAGCGTAACAATCAAGCTTCACTGGCAATCAGTATAGTGACATCAAATCTAATTAGGGATTTAATACGTGAAGATGAAAAAGGAAGACGAAACTGCCGTCAAAGACAAGCATTTATGAATATGGAAATAAAAACATGGAGAGAAGAAAAGATTTCAGTTCAAAACGTTGAAGGAAAACAATTATCCCTGCGAGAATATAGCTTTAAAAAAGCCAAAAGTAAGCAGACAGAAAAGAAAAATGAACTAAAAACTTGCGAAACACCTGTGAACAATGCGATGCATCACTGAGTTCTCTGCACAAACGTACTAGAAAACGTGTTTCGCTTGAATAGCTGCTGCTGAAAGTGCCAAACACGTTTGATCACTGATATTAATCGCCTGAAACGAGGGCAAAAACACCACTATTAACATATTTTACGCTGCAAAGAACTAGCTGATTAAGCAAGAACATTTTCTCACTTTTTTTTGCTCACTTTCACAACTGCAATATTTGAAGGACGCTTGTGTATGGAACAGTCAAAATGGAGTGTAAACTGCAGAGACTGCAAATTACAGAAAACAAACTGCACATAATTATGAAAATTATAGCCGAACTGATGCAGAATAAATAATTTTGACAATTGCTCAAAAAACAAAACAAACAAAAGCATGTCAGGACGTGAACAAATATTAAAATATCAGCTATAACTGATATAAATATAACACTCTTATAGTACGTATTTATCTCTTGAAACAACTCATAATAGAAATAAAAAGGATAGATAGATAAATAAATATGAGCAAGCAAAAAAATTTCACTTACTCAAGATTGACTGCAAAAAATTATTGATAACTTTTGCTTACAAAGAGATGTAATCAATACCATATCAAAATTAAAAGTGACCGTGAAAATAACACAAAAGCTAGCAAATTTTTCTTGATGACCACTTCCCTCCCAGGTATTTCTTAACTATAAGGAATGTAAACAAAAGGCTAATCCAAATGCGATGGAGGGAAAGAACTTTACACCTATCAGCAACCTCACTCTTACCGACACATAATGTATGATCGATCTTAACAACTGCGCACTCATTTCCGTTTCTCCACGTCCTCATGATAAGCTTCTACTATCGAATGCTAAATTAAAATTAAATTTATTTTACAACTAAAATCATTACAGCCATAATTACCTCGCTTTTACGCTCTGCTCGATGCACCCAAGATGACATACTCTCATACCAATCCCAAGCTAATTTTTTGCTAAAACGCAAAGCTAGCCATTAGAAGTAACAATATTCAGAACAGGTAATCCCAATCTGAAGCGAGAAATTCTCATAATTACTAAACCATTTAATATATTCATGTTCTTTACAAATTTTGAAAACTATAGACGCAAACATTAGTATACGTTAGCAAACTATTCAGGTAGTCGCCCAATGTCTCACTGCCAAAGCATCCTTGCAATTGTTCCTTACACAATTTTTTCCATGTTTGTTTTGACTCTGCTGATGGCAAAAGCTCCAGCACTTTAATCTAGCAATATTATACCCGGTACCAATTGAAAAAACTCTCCAGATCAAGAAGAAACTGCTATGGAGAACACTCAGCAACATCTACAGCAGACACAGTGAGACATTTCGAACCAAAAATACGTCAAAGTCTAGAGCAAACTAGATAATTTAAGCTGGTCTAACATTATCAGCAGTATTCACAAATGCATCTTCGTTTCTAGAAATGTCAATATATTGAAAGCTGGCAAAAATGCCTGGAAAACAGCATGCCTGATTCGATAGCACAGTTGAGTGAAACACGAAACGTGAAACCTTTTTAATTACCAAGCAGATGTTCTTTCTGCGTAAAGGATTCAAGAATATGATGAGATGGATAGAGCTGAACTAAGCCTAACATGGTCTACAATTAAAAAACCGCAAAAATTAAAGGGAAGAAAAGACAAATTACTCTTTTCGTCCAAACCAAAATGTTCTTACTTTCTGCTAATATCAATTCTTCTTGCTCACCGTCAAATCATTCCGTTTTATAAACAAATAGAACTGTGAATAAGCACAACATTTTTCACTATATCTTCTAGCTATGAAAACAAATACACTTATTTTCCGTGATTCATCTGACCAAATAAAGCTCACAACAAGTAACTAAGAAAGGCAATGATAAATTAGTTCCTATCAAAAGTCCAATTTTATCAGCCAAATAAAAATTTCGTAGAAACGATCCAACAGTCACTAATTTAGCTACATTACTTTACTGAGGCTGAGAAAAATTACTTAACTAAAACGATATAAAATATAACAGCAGTTATTGAAAGCAAAAATTAATTTTTTTTTCACATTAAGTCTATCATTTGAAATATGAAGGAAGTACTGTTTAGTGTTCAGCTTTTTCAAATACTTTCTGAGCGTTTCTGTATTCAAATTTCTCATCTCTGTAATCAATATCAAATATTAGATCAAATAAATAACTCTCATCTATTTACTCTTCCCAACTTTAGTAATAGAAAATTCAGCTGCGTTATACTGAAACCCGACAAAACCAAATCAAAACTGAAAATTATCAAAGACTGTGTCAATTCAAATAATTGTAGTTCGTAGTAAAAGTAAAGACGAGCAAGCCAAGGAAACGAGACGAAAACTGAATACCGAGCGAAAATTCTTCCTCGAAATGAGTCAAGTGCCTTGACCTGCAAAGGACTGCTCCAAACCTTGCATCTATTTCAAGCTTTCCATCCATCCACAACAACAAGAAGAACAATCAAAAGCAATAAAATGACTCTAAACCATGAAACCGAGTTCTTGGATCTTTCTCAATTACGATCAAGCAGAACGTAGCAGTATGCAATTTCTTTCTTTCAACACAACATACAGTGCTGAAAGAAAGCATCTTTTGCATCACAGAAAATATTCAGTAGGACAAACAGAGCAATCAACAATGCTGTCAAGAACAGATCTGAGCTATCGACCATTGCATTTTCTCATTTTCAATTTTTAACCAAAGATACTCCCTCATTATGATGCTATAAAAAAGAATGCGATCATTTTTTGGCAGTGAAAAATGTATCACTTCAAGCAGACAAAATAATTATCAAAAACAAGCTCTAAGATTGAACAAATCGTTGTAAAAATAACCGCGGAAAATTTCATTTCCACCAAGGTAATTTATTTGGACCAAGGTAATCTTAGACTCTTATTTGAACTTTTGTGTGGTGTAATAATTCATAAGACATCGTGAATTATTTTGATGAGTCTGATTTTTAAAACCAATTTAATTTAAACAATGTCTGAGATCAAGATTGAGCAACAGGAAGGTAGATCAACCATTTTTAGATCAAAAAAAATATGGTAGATGATTAAATAACTTCGCTCTATTAAACGAATAAATGAGAATAAAATTCCACAAAGTTCAGAATTTTCTCCATAAATAACGAAACTATTCTTCTTGAATGCAATATAATCAATAAGATTAAAATGCTGACTTAATGAAATTAAAAAGTATATTATATTTATGGAGACAAAGTTAAGAAGAAAGAAAAGGACGAGAGACGGTACGGTTTATACGAAGATTGTCCCAGCAATAACGTTATCTCATCTGTCCTCAAGAAAACCGGTTAATTTACACGCAGATGGGTAAATATAAGATTGACTGTGATGGAGAGAAACATTCAGTGATAACAATTATGCATGGCACTGATATAGAAATTGATTCACTGAACAGTTATTATCCACATATTTCTTATACAGTCACACACTGAAATACTTTGGCGAAAATCTGTCACTAATATCAAAAAGGTTAGATGCAATTTCAGCTAAAATATCAAACATTATCCTCATATCGCATACAGCCCAACAAACATTCTTTATGCGAAGGCAACAACGTTTTGGTTCACAAAACGGTCGGAAGATGATAATAAAGTCCGGCTATTTTCTACATTAAAAGTGAAATACACATGTAATAATTAGTACCTCAAATCACAATCAAGCTCCAATTCATTCGCATACTAAACAACTGACCTCCTGACCTGTATCCAAACCTTGCTCAAGAAAGAAGTCTTCTTACCAGTAACCTTCAAAACTGCAATATTTGCAAAGCGACACAAGAGAAGAATCAATTTCATTTCTTGTCACATACATCTACTGCGTTGCTGTGGTCTTAGCGGGTAAATATTCTTGGGGTGGCTAATTCTATTTTTGTCTTCTTTACTTCTGGATTTTTAATTTATTGGAACAAACAAGCGGTAGTCCTAGAAGATCTCAGTCGATGGCTCTTGTTGGTATTGATTTTCGCGCACCTCTGCGCACAGTAAAACGTGTACAGTTCGGAATTCTTAGTCCAGATGAAATAGTGAGTATATTTTGCCTCATAATTTAAAAGCTTTATAATTTATTGAAAACGTGACATCTATTGCAAATCGGAGCTTTTACATGGTGCATAATCTTACTAGTCATTCCTTGGATGATATTTACCATAGTAATGGCAGAAAAAAATTACATGTTTCTTTATTTGCAGAACCCTGCTGACTATCTCTCAGAAATTAGTCCATTTATGGTTCAGAGTGAAGAATTTCACATTCCTTTTCTTAAAATTTTAAAGCCTATATTAAACCTTCCTTTATTGTCTAGAAACGAATGTCAATTGGAGAAATTGAATTCTCTGAAATCTATGAAAATGGAAAACCAAAGATGGGTGGCCTTATGGATCCACGTCAAGGTGTAATAGATCGAAGAGGACGCTGTATGACTTGTGCAGGTTGCTTGGCTGATTGTCCAGGACATTTTGCTCATATCGAACTTGCTAAACCTGTATTTCACATTGGATTTCTCAGTAAAACATTGAAAGTAAGTATTTTTTTATTAAATGTTTTTATACATTAAAGGTGTCTCACCTATTTTTTGCTACACCCTTATAAGGTGTACAGTTGTTGTTATTTAAAAAGTTAACGAGCATAATATACTGGATAAAGAATATTTTTGACTATTCACATCAAGTTCATATTATATTTTTTAGCTTCTACGTTGCGTTTGCTTTTACTGTAGCCGTTTACTAATTGATAAAGATAGCTCTCGCGTGAAGGATATAATGAAAAAAACTGTTGGAAATACACGTCGTAGACTAAGCATTATTTATGACGTTTGCAAATCAAAATCCATTTGTGAAGCTGGTGATGAACTGCATGCGGTTGGAGAAGTATATATTTTCTGTTATAAAATATAATTTAATAAATGCTAGCTTGTAGTAATTGTAAAATTCTCAAAACCTTTGGAATAGAATGTAAAAGCTGACCCAAAATGTCATTCATCATTATCATTTACTTCGGAGTGAAAAAATTGTTTATCAGTTCTGGGAAAATATTGATACAGTATGCAACTTCAGCAGTTTCTTTTTGCTACAGGATGGGGATGACGGAGATAAAGTGAAATCAGGTGGTTGTGGCAGATACCAGCCATCATATAAAAGAGTGGGAATAGACATAATTGCAGAATGGAAAAAGCATGTTAATGAGGATACGCAAGTACACTTTTCTATTTACAGATCATGTCCTTTTTAATTATTTTATTTCGTTTAAATCATTAAACAATATTATCGGTGAATTTTTTTCAGTGATTAATGCTTAAGAAGTTGTTGTTGCAGGAAAGAAAAATGGTCTTAACCGCAGAACGAGCACTTGAAATTTTCAAGTCAATAACTGATGCAGATTGTATTGTACTTGGTAAATCTATAAATTTATATATTTTTGACTTAAGAAGCGAAGAGCTTTGTTTAACCTGTATAACTTATAAATCAGTGGCATTAATTTTTTTGTGGGTGACGCGAAGTTTCTTGCTTCATGAATCGATAGATATGTTCAAGGCATGGAACCACGTTTCGCACGTCCAGATTGGATGATTGCACAAGTTATCCCTGTTCCGCCATTAGCTGTTAGACCTGCTGTCGTAACATTTGGTTCCGCTCGTAATCAGGATGACTTGACACACAAGCTCTCTGATATTGTCAAAACTAATAATCAGTTAAAAAGGTATTTCCGCCGATTCATGTCTATTTGATGTCAGGGATATTGAGCTTATTTGAAAATTGGTATGAAAATTGACGATATTGAAATTAAAAATGTCTCATATGTGAGAGTTTATAATTACATATGAGATTTAAAAAATAACGTCAACAAGTTTATGATTACAAATATTATTTAGGAATGAAGCAAATGGAGCAGCAGCTCATGTCCTGGCAGAGGATGTCAAGCTGTTGCAGTATCATGTAGCCACACTAGTTGACAACTGCATACCTGGCCTTCCCGCGGTATTCTTATTTCATGAAATTCCTTTCATTAATGTGTGAGCAATTTTTTCTGTTCATTCAATGATTTCTTCTTTACATTTAGTGCTTCTATGGTGAAACTAAACGAAATTATTGCGTTAAGGAAGCTAGAAGTTGTTTTAATATATTTAGATTCTCGAATAGAAATGCGTAAAAAATATTTAAACTTCAGGCAACTCAAAAAGGAGGTCGTCCGTTGAAATCCATCAAGCAACGTCTCAAAGGAAAGGAAGGCCGTATCAGAGGAAATTTGATGGGAAAACGAGTAGATTTTTCAGCTCGAACTGTAATTACACCAGATCCAAATTTACCCATAGATACAGTCGGTGTACCGCGTACTATTGCTCAAAATATGACATTTCCAGAAATTGTCACGCCGTTCAATATTGATAAGTCCGTATTTTAATCATAGTTCTTCGATTCTGTAAGCATTTTTTCACATAAAATGCTTTAAAATTGGTCGCTTCGGTCTCTAAAAAATTAATTGTCAGATTGCAAGAATTAGTGAATCGTGGAGATAGTCAGTATCCTGGTGCCAAATACATCATCCGTGAAAATGGCGCTCGAGTAGATTTACGTTATCATCCAAGAGCAGCAGATCTTCATTTGCAACCTGGTTATAGGTATAAATTGTTACTTATTCTTTAATCTCAAATTATTTTGACAAATTATCTGATTATATCCGATAAATTTTTCCGTGATCATATCATTTAATCAATCTTTTTTATTACAGAGTAGAGCGACATATGAAGGATGGTGATATTATCGTATTTAATCGGCAACCAACGCTACATAAGATGTCTATGATGGGTCATAAAGTCAAGGTAATATTTTAAGATTTATTTCATTTCGTAAGCATTAAAATTGATGAAAAATGACGTTTGTGACATCATTTATTATTTACAAAGCCTTCTTTCAACTGGTGTTTATAGATTCTGCCGTGGTCAACATTTCGCCTCAATCTTTCTGTAACAACACCTTATAATGCTGATTTTGATGGCGATGAAATGAATTTACATTTACCGCAAAGTCTGGAAACAAAAGCTGAAATCTCTGAAATTGCAATGGTACCTAGGTTGGTAAAAGCTGAAATCTCTGAAATTGCAATGGTACCTAAGCACTTATTTCTAGAAACAGAAATCTACTTTCTAGAAATAAGTGCTTAGGTAATAAATAAATTGTCTAAAAATAAATAAATATTCACTTCAAATTCGTTCAAATTTCATTTATATTTCAGTTTTTAAGCACTTTATTTCTTTCATTTTGCTTGAAAATATTTATTTATTTTTAGACAATTGATCACACCTCAGGCTAACAAGCCGGTGATGGGTATTGTCCAAGATACGCTCACAGCTGTTCGAATGATGACTAAACGTGATGTTTTCATTGAATTACCTCGAATGATGGATCTTCTGATGCAAATGCCGAACTGGGATGGCAAAATTCCTCAGCCTGCCATATTGAAACCGAAACCATTGTGGACGGGAAAACAAATTTTCACTCTTATCATTCCAGGCAAATTGATTTATATTTTAGCGCTGTGAAATTACAGTGAATTAGCAATAGTGTTTTACGTTTAAATTTTTTTCAAGTATAAAATTACATGAAGATTAATGGTATGACTTAGTATTTGTCCAGCTTCATTTGCGATTAGATGGTTTGTACAGTTATGATAAATAGAAAGTAGATTTCTGTTTGTTTTGATTGAGATTTTAATTTGTGTTATTTATGAATTGTGCAGGTAATGTAAACGTACTTCGAACGCATTCAACACATCCTGATGACGAGGATAATGGACCTTACAGATGGATTTCACCTGGAGATACTAAGGCTTGTTTCGAAATTCTGTTCTTACATCCAAATTTTGATAATTTAGCGACGAGCATAAAAATTTGGCAGTATTTTCGAAGAATTTGTTTAACTTATGGTTTATCGACCTTAACAATGCCTTTACTTCTACAAATTATTGTGTTCAGAAAATATCCTTAATATGAAGGCGAGCTTTCTTATATTAAGGTGAGTTATTTATCAGGTAATGTCAGTGTATAACTAGGATTTGAATGTACTGTCTTTTTGTACACTCTCGATTAGATATGTTCCTCGACGAAGTCAGATGTACTGATTTCCTGCGTTTATGAAAGTTCGTTAGTATTTCGTCCCATACGTACAAAAGGAATTAAATAAATTCGGTTATACCTAGAGCATAAGAAAAATGTAGTTACCTAATGGGTCATAATCCTTTTCTTCGTTGTGACTTTTATCAACGTGCTTTGACTAGTGTCGCCAATCTCTATACAGTTTACTTCATATCGCTGTTTATCTTACGGCATGAAATTTGGTTAATCCGCACTTGTTTTGGTCTGATCTTACTCACATAGCGGCTTTCATCTTTACATTCTCTTTCGCGACAGTCTTCTGAACTGGGTGGCTTCTCATGCGTAGTGATGCTTCCACATCATACAAGATCTCAGGAGGATACATCGAGCATCTCATTATGCCGCTAGTGTAATCATGATACAGCTTTTTCTCGCATTTCATTACAAGGGGTCCATCATCTCCAAACATTCCATTTAATGGTGCAAATACTTTTTCAGCTTCATACATATTTATAAATGGAGGGTTACTGTATTTTATCTCGCTTCGGAGGTTATGTTTCCGTGTTGCAGTCTCGTATTCTTTTTGGCGAGTAAAATCAAGTTTTTCTTATTAGCAGTTTCATAACTTTGCTAAATTGCAGATATTTTTTAGGTAATTATTGAACATGGTGAACTACTGTCAGGAATTATTTGTTCGCGAACAGTGGGTCGTTCAGCTGGTAATTTATTGCATGTTGTCACACTAGAGCTTGGTTGGGAAGTTGCTGCGCATTTCTATTCTCATATACAAACTGTTGTCAATGCATGGTTGCTGGCTGAGGGTCATACTATTGGTATCGGAGACACGATAGCTGATCAAGCCACATATCGTGATATTCAAGAAACCATCAGAAAAGCAAAGTTGGATGTCGTTGAAGTGATTGAAAAGTCTGCTTTGTTTTGTTTAAAAATTTCCATTTTTTTAATTTCTAAACGGAAGAAGATTGGTGTACAAGCTCTACTAAAATTTCAAAGAGTTACTGTAAACTTAGTTGTGTAGCTACTTGAACGAGTGCAGTGAGTAGTGAGAGATACAGATGAAGTGCTATTTTATACAATAAATTAACAGCATTTCGTCGTTTAGCATAATTTACAGTTATTTAATACACTTTTGGTATGCAACAATTATTTCAGAGCACATAATGATGAATTGGAGCCAACTCCAGGTAATACTTTGAGGCAAACGTTTGAAAATATGGTGAATCGTATACTAAATGATGCTCGAGATCGAACTGGTGGTAGTGCACAACGTTCTTTGTCCGAATATAATAATTTTAAAGCCATGGTTGTTGCGGGTTCCAAAGGATCTAAAATTAATATATCACAGGTAACAGAAATTAAGTTTTTTCACAAGTAGTTTTTAGTGATAACAGCATTTTCTTGTTTACAGATATTGTAATGAACCTATTTTATTCTAGATTTTTTTTGCTTTTCATTACAAAAATGTGCTTGGAAGTGGAAAGTGAGTCATAAAAATTTTTAGGTCATTGCTTGTGTTGGGCAACAGAATGTAGAAGGTAAAAGAATACCATTTGGTTTCCGTCATAGGACACTTCCTCATTTCATTAAAGATGATTATGGGCCAGGTCAGCATCTATTTGATTTATGAATTATACTATTTTTGTTTGTAGATGAAACGATTTTTGACTCGTAGTTATATGGAAAGGTGTTTTACAAAATCAAAGTTGAAGATGGCAAGTTGATTAATGCGCGCAACATTGTGTACTGGAATACAATATATTAAGTATTCATAAAATCAAAATAGAAGAGCTAAATGATTTTTTTTTCTCAGAATCAAAAGGCTTCGTTGAAAATTCATATCTGGCAGGATTAACACCATCCGAATTTTTCTTTCATGCTATGGGTGGCCGTGAGGGTCTTATTGACACTGCTGTTAAGACAGCAGAAACGGGTTACATTCAACGGAGATTAATCAAAGCAATGGAAAGCGTGATGGTTAATTATGATGGCACTGTACGTAATTCACTTGGCCAATTAGTGCAGTTAAGGTAACTAGATTTATTCATTCGTTTTTTCATTCCTGTGTAGATTTTCTCACCAAAGTCTCAGCTCGCACTTCATTGTAGCTTTCTTGGGTAAATGCACTAATTCTGTCTTTCATTATTCGAAGGTAATTATATCCTTGAACGTTTTCTGAGAGCACCTTCTTATCAGCACATGCCTTGGTATCAGTGGCTAACTTCGCTTTATTCACCTCTAGCCTTTTGGTGACACAAAGGGCCGTTCTCTCGGCTCCAAAACGGTCATAAACCGCTTTGGAAGCTTACCAGGCATTCTGCTTCAAATATACGTAGTTATCTCATCTACACGTTGAGTAATGCGCGCAACGCATTTTTTTATGTAAAGCTATCGGGTTCATTCAACACTCTGTAAATCTTTTTAAGATATGGTGAGGATGGTTTAGATGGTATGTGGGTCGAAAATCAATCGATGCCAAGTATGAAACCAACTAATGCCTTGTTTGAAAAAGAATTCAAATTGGATCTCTCTGATGAAAAGTAAATATTTTTCAACTTTTCTATTGCAAATTATTGGCAACAATTGTGCTGTGCTAATTTAAATCATAAAAAATGTATCAGGTCGCTACGTAAAATATACACTGAAAACGTTGTCCGCGAGCTTCAAGGCTCAGCAGAAGCTCTGAAAGAGGTGGAAGCTGAGTGGGCTCAACTTGAAGAAGATCGTCGCTTGCTTCGAAAGATTTTCCCGAAAGTACTAATTGTTTTATGTTACATGATCGTAGATGTTGTAGGAATATGCACATAGTTAATTCTTATATTGTATGATTAGTTCCATTTAAGACATTAAATACATATGTTTCACGGGCATGCTTTAAAAAGGTTTTTTTTAAATCATATGCATATCTTGTTTTGTTCATCATGTCTCAACAAATGTTTTTGAGGGAGACGCAAAAATTGTGTTGCCTTGTAACTTGCAAAGGATGATCTGGAACGCGCAAAAAATATTTCGGGTGGAGCTGAGAAAACCAACTGATCTTAATCCATTACGTGTGATTGAAGGTGTTAAAGAACTGAGTAAAAAGCTCGTTATTGTTAGTGGTGAGGATCGAATTAGTAAACAGGTACATTAACTCTCCCAAAACTGACAATATTAGCATGAGACTAAGGACAATTATGTGGTGGTACTTAAATAAGGATATGAATAAAGTGAATAGTATCTCCTAAATTATCTCAGTGCTGAGAAAATATTGAATTTAGATCATTTAAATTAATTAATGATCAAATCAGTGTTTTTTAGGCACAGTACAATGCAACGCTACTCATGAATATACTTCTTCGATCAACACTTTGTGCTAAAAGAATGGCTGAGAAATATCGTTTAAATTCGGAGGGTTTTGAATGGCTTATTGGTGAAATTGAATCTCGTTTCAAACAAGCAATTGTACAGCCCGGTGAAATGGTTGGTGCCATAGCAGCCCAAAGTTTGGGTGAACCTGCCACTCAGATGACATTAAACACCTTCCACTATGCTGGTGTCTCAGCTAAAAATGTTACACTTGGTGTACCACGTCTTAAAGAAATTATTAATATTTCAAAGAAACCGAAAACACCATCCTTGACAGTATTCTTACAAGGAACTGCTGCAAAGTACGTTATTCTTATAGAATTTCCAAATATTTTATAGTTTAATACTTTGGTTTATGCACTTTCTCTGCTTACTTGGTTCTAGATGTTCGAGCATTGGCATTGTCAGCCAACAACAATTTTAGTAATGATAATTTTTAAAAATAGCAGCTAATATTTTTACGTTAGCTCATAAAAATTTTGAGAAAAAATTGGACGAAGGAGATAGTAAAAAAGATTATTTAGCAGCATTATTGCATTGTTGGGCTAGCAGTTAGTACTCTTTCCCTATTGTTAATTTTTTTTCAGTGCACTGATCTTTGTTTAATGATAATTTCAGAGATGCTGAAAAAGCTAAAGATGTCCTTTGCAAGTTAGAACATACAACACTTCGAAAAGTTACTGCTAATACGGCAATTTATTACGATCCAGATCCCAAAAATACTGTAATTGAAGAGGATCAGGAATGGGTGAACATTTTCTACGAAATGCCAGATTTCGATACATCGCGATGTAGTCCATGGCTTTTACGCATTGAATTAGACCGTCGACGAATGACTGATAAGAAACTAACTATGGAAGCTATTGCGGATAAAATTCATCAGGGATTTGGAGATGATTTAAATGTGATCTATACCGATGACAATGCAGACAAATTAGTTTTTCGGCTGCGTATTACTAATCATGAGAGTGAAAAAAATGAAGAGGAACAGATAGATCGGATGGAAGATGATGTATTCTTACGTTGCATTGAAACTAATATGCTTAGTGATCTAACTCTTCAAGGCATCGAAGCCATTAAAAAAGTGTATATGCATAAGCCAACGACAGATGATAAAAAGCGGGTTATTATAACTCCGGATGGTGGTTTTAAGGCAATTCCTGAATGGCTTCTTGAGACTGATGGCACTGCCTTAGCCAAAGTACTAAGCGAGCAAAATGTAGATTCTGTACGCACAACATCTAACGACATATGCGAGATATTTGAAGTTCTAGGAATTGAGGCGGTGCGGAAAGCCATTGAACGGGAGATGAATCATGTTATTTCATTCGATGGCTCTTACGTCAATTACAGACATTTGGCTCTTCTTTGCGATGTCATGACTGCTAAAGGTTGCTTTTAAAAACAGTAGTGTATCAAGTTATTTTATATACAGTGCATTATGTACGTGTGTTCCTTAACATAAATCATATTTTTCTCAAAGTTTTTTTTTGATGTCTTATTACTAATCAGTTGACTAAGAGTTTCTAATTTTTAAAGGCCATCTTATGGCCATCACTCGTCATGGAATTAACAGACAAGAAGTGGGAGCTCTGATGAGATGTTCATTTGAAGAAACTGTTGATATTCTCATGGAAGCAGCTGTTCACGCTGAGCATGATCCAGTCAAAGGTATAATGATATTCATTTTGAGAAGAGGCCATTTTATCCTTGCCATAGTTCACTAGATGTATTATAGACAAGAAATGCAGCGTGCTAACTTAAGGCGCAAAATTGCCACTGCAATATGCATTCAATGATGCACATTCATAAAAAACAATTTTTCTTTTTGCAGTATGAAAAAGAATATTAATATTTCCTTCAAAATGTTTGCATTATTAAATCAATTAGCGTGTTAGGTAAGACTGATAATAAACTATAATTGAATTCTAGTAAATAATTCAAAATAGTAAAGTCCTTGATGTAAATTCAAATATATTCATTTGCGAAGTTTAGTGAATATGAAAAATAAATCCTCAATGATTTTAGTTCATTATCAAAATAAAGGGAATGTTTTTAGGCGTATCTGAAAATATCATGTTGGGACAGTTAGCTAGAGCTGGAACAGGTTGTTTTGATCTGGTTCTTGATGCAGACAAATGTAAATTAGCTATGGAAATACAGACTGGAGGTGGTCTTCTTGGTACGGGTGGAATATATTTTGGTAGTTCTATGTCGCCAGCTAGGTAACTTTGAATGTTTTCTTCGCATTGTTTCAAGTTCTATCATTAGTTTTAGAAATATTTTTCAAATATGCCTGGAAATGGTTGTTAAATGCAATTTTAGGGCAGTATTTGTTTTTAATTTCAGTTCATCTATGAGTCCGGCTCAAACACCTTGGAATGCTGGTACGACGCCAGCTTATGGAGCTGCATGGAGTCCAGCAACTGGTTCAGGAATGACACCCGGTGGTGCAGGCTTTTCGCCTTCAGGGCATAGCGAAGGAGGTTTTTCTCCTTATGGGTATGTATTATTCTTAGTATATATATTCCGTTACATTCTGTATGGATTTTCAGTAATTACTTGAAGGGGTAGCGGAAGTTGGAGTCCAGGTTCACCTGGTGGATCTCTTGGTGGAATGTCACCCTCTGCTGCTGGAGGGTATTCTCCTGCTGGCAGTGATTACGGCTCTGGATTAGAAGGACTTAGTAGTCCCGGTTATTCGCCTACTAGTCCGTCATCTCCTTATGGTGCTTCATCACCTGCTTATGGTGTGATGAGCCCAAGATATTCTCCAACCAGTCCAAGTAAGATTTAGTTGTATTTTCGTGTATCTATTGATTAATCTGAAGGAAGAGAGAAATTTTCATATTTTATAGTTGATTCCAACACAGTGCTTATTTATGTACCTAAATTTCAGGTTATTCTCCTACTTCTCCTAGTTACTCGCCTACTTCACCAAGTTACAGTCCAACGTCGCCAAGTATGTCGCTGATTATTCATAATTCGAAATTTTTATTGCTGCAAAATTTCAAATTTTAAAAGCTGTAAATCAGCTTCCTATTATATAGATAGTCTCAGATTGAATTAAATTGATAGATTTATAACTTATAACAAGCTGATTAAATTTTTTAAATGTGAAAAGTCGTTTTTTAGGCTTGTTTTACCTATAAAATTGTTCGTGGTTCATGTTACTCTCTAGCATTATTTTTTCCTTACATATAAGTAAACTATTTCAGTATCTTTGCAGTATTCACCATCATCGTTTTAGTTATAGGGAATAAACAAGTTTTAACTTTCAGTTCACATTATTTTAGAAAGTTTAATTATAATAAATGCTCTTAACCTTTAATTTATTACACTTTTTTCAGGTTATTCACCTACTTCACCTAGTTATAGTCCTACCTCTCCAAGCTACTCACCGACTAGTCCAAGTTATTCTCCAACATCACCTTGTAAGTTATAACTAGAACCATAAAGTTTCATTGATTTCATCTTAAACAGCAATTTTTTTTCTTTCTTCCTTCTTTTTTCATTTTCTTCCAAACCAAGGTCTACAAATTTTCAGCCTATTCGCCAACTTCACCAAGTTATTCACCAACATCACCGGGTTATTCTCCTTCTTCTCCTCGATATTCACCTACTTCACCTGCTTACAGTCCAACAAGCCCGACATACAGTCCTACTTCACCTGCCTATTCACCGACGAGCCCAACTTACAGTCCAACAAGTCCATCTTACAGTCCTGCTTCGCCTGGTTAATTTATTTTTTTGCATCTTTCATGGCAGCAGATTTCAGTTTCTTCCATAAATTTTTTGAAGTTATGCATTTGCTTTGCAAAATGTCAAAAACAGTATTGTATGGCTTATAATTTCTGATTTGGAAAATTTTCGGATACGTTCCAAAATCTTTTGATCGTTTATAGGTTATTCTCCATCGTCTCCTCGTTATTCCCCTACAAGTCCAACATATAGCCCTACTAGTCCAGCTTATAGCCCTTCATCGCCGCAATACAGCCCCAGTAGTCCTCAGGTATATCATTCTTTGTTGACCTTTTCCAAAGGAAATACTTTAAATATCATAAATAAATATTTTATTAATGAACAATTATTGTTACTGTGGTAAGCCATTTCAATATTTTTGCAGTACTCACCATCATCGCCACGATATACGCCAAGTTCGCCAGCCGGTAATGTCTCGCCCGCTGTAAGTTTTTATTCTTTCTTTACAAAACAAGTAACAGTGAGATGATTAAAAAACAAACCATGTCAACGTGAGAAAACCGGATTCATAATTATTCTGCGATGGCGAACTTAGAATTTTGTTTTCTTAAATTAATGTTTTTCAGTATTCTCCCACTTCGCCGCAGTACTCACCATCCTCACCAAGATACAGTCCATCAAGTCCACAGGTTTATTTTCATATTCCTTAAAATTATGTTTCACCTTAATGCATATTGTTGGATCAAGAGTTCATTAGAAACATATTTTTAACATAATTGCATTTCCAGTACTCGCCGACATCACCTCAGTACAGTCCAAGTTCACCAGGGGGACCAGGCACTTCGGTTTGTTTTACTTTTATTTTATTTGAATTTACGCTACACTTATTAATAATTTTTTTTCCTTCTTGGAAGTATTTTCACTATTTACAGAGTTCTCCTCAGTACAGTCCCTCATCTCCTCAATATTCACCAAGTTCGCCTCAGGTTATTTTCTTACTTTCTCACCAATCAACTGCAGAAATTGTTTTAAAATGCGTTTTTAGTGTATTTAGCTTTTAGTAGTTTAAAGAGTTTAATTCAAACTGTTGAGTGATCTTTTGTAAAAGCAGCAGATAATTTAATACTTTAAATTGTTTCATATGTTGTCTTCATTTCTAATACGAAATTTTTGCTGTAAAACAGTATTTTCATAAGTTAAAATCTTGCAGTATTCACCGTCATCGCCACAGTACAGTCCATCGTCCCCGCAGTATTCACCAGGAGATTGATTAGCGCATGATTTTGTAAAAGATGTGCATAAGTAACGGTCATGAGATGTCAAGCAATTATTAGGATGTGAAATCACGAATGACCCCAAAAGTGAATTATTGTAAGTAGTCATTTCGGGTTAATGTCTCTGGTTGGTGCTAGTGAAGATCGTTGTCATTCATAATGTCTCTGGTTGGTGCTAGTGAAGATCGTTGTCATTCATACAATTTTATTACGGATTTAATCCATAGTTTAATCAGGAAGATCAAACATAAATTTAGTCGCAAAGATTCCAATTTTTTCATGACACTATCAGTTGTAATATAAATAAATAATTTGTGAAAAATTTTCATAGTAGTTGTTTTTAAAGGAAATCTGTCTATATGGTAGTACTTATTTACTCTGAGGTGAGCGATCCTTGCATTTAATTGATACTGAGCAATGATTGACCTACCTTGTAAGAGCAAAAGACTAAACGTGTTTGGTCAAAAGTGAATGATCCATATACTGAATGTAATTTATGCATCTGTTCTTGTATCACTTTTTATTTTGTTAGTCAGAAGATGTTGATGGTCGCTGTATAAAGTATTATTTATTACTATTACATTCAACTTCATAGCACTAGCAGATCATACTTTTTAATCTTCATCATGCTTTCTGATTATTTAATAATCAGAAGAAAATAACTGTTTTGTTGTATATCGAAATTTCTTTTGTAAATAACAGTGCAAAGTTGGGAGTAAAATGAATACTGCGCTTCGTGTTTGAGAAAATAGAAGTTGCTGTCGAGTATAATAAGCGTTTAGTAGTCAGTGGGGAGAAAGTTTGCATAAATTTTTAACAGAGTCTAGCTCATGCGGAAACTCTGTCAGTATATCGGGACCAAGCATCAACAGACAGCACCAAATGCTTCAAGAACTCATATTTTGATTCAAGGTTCTACGGAGCAAGTAGCCAGGCGAGGTTCTGGAAACGGCTCTTAACTGGAGAGTGTAGGATGGCCCTTATGATCTTTCTTGAGTAAACTTATGGAAGTGTAATTTCCATCTTGCTCATTTCTATGTGTCTGGGAAGGAATATTGTTGCGGTGCAAGAAAGCATTTGGTTCTCCAACGTAATTAGTATTGACTTTGCACATCAAAAGTAGGCATGATATAATATTGAAGTGCTCAGTGCTAAATCAGGAAAGTATTCACGAAATGAAGTTGTAAGTAATCACTTGGATAGATTTGCTTGCTAAGTCCAAATATAAGTACTAAACAAGTCAGTGAGTTCAACGTACTCAAATAAAATTGGAAAGTTCGATTATACTTGTGGATTTGAGACTGGAAAAGAAAAGTGTAAGCAGTCGCGGGTAGATGTGTGTGTATGTTTTGGGAAATTCTTTAGCCAGACAGCACTAATTATTTGTTTTTCTCTTATCCAAAATGGATATTCCGCGATTTGACTTCGAGCGAGAGCCTGTCTGCAAAAGGAAAGAGCTATGGTACCTATCTACCTCTCTTTCCATATACTTCTTATTTCGCCAATAATAAGCGAACAATATCATTATAAATGGATGAAAGGTATGATAATTTAATTTAAAAATCGATAAGTCACTAAAATTAAATCAGTGGTAATTAAAAATTTGAACAGTGGAGCTAAGTTCTTTCTTTCTAGATGATAAATTTCCCAGTTCTGAATGGAATCGATTGATTAACACGTTATATAGTTAAACTTGTGGAAGCCTTCTATATGCAGGAGCATGTACAGGGTAACTAGCGAGCTAAATTTCTAGCAGATTTGGTTGTCACGTAAAAAGATAAGATTAAGCGTAAACTGACCAAATCTACTACTGCATGTTTTATGCGTGAAATAAATGCTTCTGGGGCCTTAATTTAGTATTTCCCACGAAAGTGGTCAGTCAGTCACCTACTTGCAGAATGAAAGTTTTATTAAAATGCATTGCGAAGATGATATTGTTAGCAGGTGGCAGCTGCTTTAGTCTTTCATTTACGTTTGTTAGAACAAAAACACTTCCCGCTAATCGATCTTCCGCACTTATTTACACATTATCGAATGTTTATCAAAAATCGCTGCTTAAACAAAATCTTTAGTTCAAAGGTCAGCATTTTTTCTCCACACATCATTTTTGCTCAACTTTCTTCCACTTATCGTTATTAACTCTGTTTGAAGGAAACAGTGAGAATGTTGCTCGTATATATCAGCGAGCATAATTTCATCATATGTATAATTAGCATTCAGTATTTTACCTTCAAACTTGTAACTTGTAGTTCAGATTTGACCTGAACGTGGAACTGATTCTGATTAACGAAAGTATTTTTTTTCAGTGATATGATTATTATTCATACCATCGATTTTTGAATATGAAATCACAATTGCTTTTACAAATTATTGTCACAATCTTATTTGGTAATGTTTTCGTTCAAATTTAAGCATTTATTTACGCAACTGATAATGTTTATCCGTGAAGATAGACTGATTGCTTTTCTTTCAATTCATTCAATCTTTCTTAAATATTTCGGAATTAAGTACAATTTTACAACACTTTGCATGCATTTCAGTGAATAATTTGTCATGTAACCGTTACGCTGATCAGTTGTACGAGGATTTACTGTATTTTTATAATAAAAATGTTCGACCTGTGAGAAATGCAAGCAGTGCTGTACAAGTTAAATTTGGAGCGTCATTGATTCGAATCATTGATGTGGTTAGTTTACTTGAAGCTTGAAATTTTAAAGATAACAATAACAATGTGGTTAAAATTAGGCCACTGACCGTGAAAGTAATATTCAGAATACTACTTGATCTAATTCTAATCTTTTGAGAAGGAGAATATGATTGTATTATTATCAGTGTGATGAGCGAAGCAACAGTGCAAGTATTAGATTCTAATGTATCAAATACTGTCATGGGGATTCTCCCCGAAACTCTACTCATATACTGTGCTCTCAAAATCATTTCATAAGGCTTGCAATTTTTTAACGACGCTCGTTTATTTAATGCAGAGGTTTGGGTTAGTATACCTCTTGGGTATACCTCTTTAACACTGGTAATATTTTGTTTGATGGTGATGCCAATATTTGTGTTACACCACAATCTGATGGACAGTAGGATGCTGGTTGGCCTGAAATTCATCAAGAAGTACTCATTGTTATTGAAATAAATTGGAAATAAATGTGGAAAGTAAATTTTTTGAAAAATCGATTACACTGATTAAAAATCAAATTTTAAACGGACCTGGTTCTCCCGGTGGTCCAAAAGAACCGACTTCTCCCTGTTTCCCATGACGCCCAGACATTCCAGGCGGACCAAAGTTTCCTGGTTTTCCATCAGAGCCTGATTCTTTAGCAGATTTGCCTCTTGGTCCCATAGGTCCTTTGGGTCCAGGAGGACCAGGCGGGCCTTTTGGCCCTTTTACTCCATAACCAGATACAATTGTATTGCCGGGATTCCCTTCATGACCCATAGGACCTCTGAGGCCATTTCCTCCTGGAGGACCGGGTTGGCCCATAGGTCCACGTTTTCCTGGATTACCTGGTGAACCTGGTTCTCCACTCTGGCCAGATGGCCCAAGTTGTCCACGTTCACCTTGAAACCCTCTAGAATTGTGTAACAAAGGTTAACGAGGATGTGATAAAATTATTGCAAACAAGCAATAGTAAAAAATGAAAATTTTAGTGGATAGCGATATTGTCTTTAGAATTAAGTGCAAGTCATTGATTAAAAAAAAAGTACTCGTAGAGATTAAAACCTTTGGCCAGGAGGACCAGCTGGACAAATTATACATGGGAGGTCATCTTCCGGAGTAAGTTCTACATCGTAACCATCTTCACCAGCTAATCCAGGGTTGCCAGAAATTCCCGGTACCCCATCTTCACCGGGAGCACCACTCAAACCAGGTGGTCCTACCAGGCAGCTGACAAAATTTATTCATGCATTTTTCATTTATCCACATTTACTTTCTCGCTAGTATTTAGACATAAGGAAAGCCTTTCATTCACTTATATTTAGTCTTAGTGAAAGTTCTTACAATGTATACGTATTTAATTTTGTAGTAATTGTTCCAAAAATTAATTATATTACTTATCACATTAAGTAAAATGAAATTTACATCATTTCAATTTATTGCGAATTAATGTAAAAATTAGTGAGTAATTTGTTCAAAATGAAAAAAGTGAAAAAATACCAAAAAAGTATTTAGTAACGCTAATTTTGCTGTGCTTTAACTCAAAAAGTAAATCCTTTCTTTTTTACAAAAGTATTTCTTCAGTTGCATTTGCTATTTGTCATCAAAGGTGTATGACATTTTTGGTTTTTAAAGCGATTTGAAATAAAATTTTGGTATTCAAAAGAGGATGTGACTGAATATTCAAATTGAATTGGCATTTTTAAACAAACACTTATTCGAAGTAAAAACGAACCCAAGTTGTGTACATCCCGAACATACTGTTTGCTTACTTCTAAGATAGAATTGTGAAGGTGAACGGCGATTTCGGAGAATAGTTGGTAGTCCAGATTCTTCACGTACCGATTTAATTTCCATCCATATTTTATCCGATTTGTGCTCAAATATCTTAATTATTTCGAATAGCTGCAGTGAATGGATTAAAAATTAAATTTAATAAACAGTCTGACTTTAAATATCTTTTACTGTGTTTAGCTTTCTTTATTTGAATTATAGAATTAAATGGTAGTTTTACTTTAAAACGATTTGATTTCATAGCCATTATTGAATATTCTTCCTCAGCTTTCAAATAAATAGTTGGAATTGCAAATACCACCAAAATAATTGTTACCGAACTGATTACTGTTGTATATATGGCTAAATGATAGAAATAGTCCTCAGAATTGGTCATTTTTGCAAAGCTCAAATCTGTAAAATCCTGTTACCTTAATATTTATACAAGCATTTACCATTTTCCATCATACATTTATTACTACTTGTTTCCAATTCCTTTACTAGGCTTATCTAATAACAACTATTAGTTAATGCTCAAAAACCATAATAAATAGGCAGATGCAAACTGGATATAGAATAAAATTATAACTGGAAGAATTGAAGAATTTACGAAGAATTTTATTTTTCCACCAAAATTTCTATCTACCAACAAAGATAAGGTAGTGCAGGCACCAATTGGATTTCAAATGTAAAGTAGGTATATTTTATTGCTGATCGAAAATTCAATGTGTTTAGAATGATTAATCAGTTCCATCAGTTGTTCTCTACAAAATTCCGTTCAAATTTGATTCAATAATAGGGCACTGTGTCGTGATATTCGCATGTTATGCATTGTTAATAAATGATTCGCAAATTTTACGTTTTTTAATTTACTTTCACACTCCCGAGATATCCTAGAACGAAGCACAGAGAAGGAAAAAACGATGGAAATTTAAAGATGACATTTCAATTTAGGTCAAACTGTGATTTTATTTTCCAAGCATTAATTAAAAGTTTTCCTGATAACATTTAATGAATGCATGAAAAAATAACTAAAATTTTTTACACATTTCTGAAGTCAAGGCATTTTAAAATTTATACTACTTTACAGCACTTTTGCATAATTTTTATAAACTATCTACTTAAGTCTCGTACTTGTAGTGCTTGCCCTTAATAAATTTGAAGATATGTCGTATTATTTTCAAAAACTTTTAATCACGTTTCTCTGAGTCATTTTTGTGCTTGTAGAGTAATCTCACTTGCACAACCTCAAGTATTTTCTAGGATGAAGTGAACCAAGTCCTTACCACCAATTTATGGCTCGAAATGGTATGTTTTTTAAATGATACTGTCCAAAAATCAGTTTCAACAAGAAACATTTATCATCTCAATGATAATAAGTTGAAAAAGCGTATTTTTAAGTGAAATGGTTGCAGCAATGGAATGACTACAAACTGAAATGGGATCCAGAAAAATACAACAATATTCACAAACTTCATGTTCCATCTGATCAAATATGGATACCGGATATTCTGTTGTACAATAAGTAAACTCTCAAGCATTTCATTAATACTCTCACAGCGAAGTGGATAAAATTCAGATCAAATTTAAAATTCAAAAACAAATGGTAGTGCTAAACCAATATAGCTTTGTGAATGAATAACTTGTTTTCATTTCCAGTGCTGATGGTGAGCCCCACATAACAATTATGAGTGATGCTTTAGTGTATTACACTGGTGCTGTAGTTTGGAAGCCACCAAGTATCTATAAATCATTCTGTCCTGTACGTGTCCCTTTTCGTTTACTTTTATTTACTTAACAAAGTATTAAAATTCTAAATATACAGTCAAGTTATGTAGATGCTCATTTTTCATTGACTAAAACTTAACAAATCAGTCCAACATAGGTACTAGGTTGTTCATAAAATTAAGAGCAGATAAGAATTTGAAACTACTGTCATAACTATAATCATTATTATTATTATTATTCTTTCATGAAACTGTACCTCTTTAATGGGAAGTGTCAAGAATTCAAATAGAAATTTGTATATAAACGAATTTGCAAAATTTTAAAAAATCACATAATTATAAAGATAAAAGTGATATTTTCTGATGGTGAAAATAATAATTTATTAAATTATACAAATATGAAAATAGTCAGAAGTTACAAAATGTAAAACATGATGTCTGTGTTGTTATTAGAAGTGAGGTTCTTTTTTTTCTGATAGAAGCAGTGCAAATAAACGATTTGTACTGTTAAGTGGGCATTTTTGTCAGTTTGCGTTGAATCATTAATTTGGATACAAATATACAAAACCGAATTATCTGCCACTATACCAGTCGAAAATAAACTTTTCACTCAGAACAAATGTTTGCTCGGTAACTGTCCACAATTTCTAGATTGATATTGAATATTTCCCATATGATAAGCAATCGTGTTCCATGAAGTTTGGTGGTTGGTCTTACAATGGTTTTCAGATTGATGTTCGGCAACTACCGGTACATAATTTTAGTTCATATTCACAATTTCCTAACGAAAACTGAAAATGGTAAAAAGTTACTACTAATAAGTATTACATAAAAAATTTAAACAAATATCTTTAGGAGTTTAGAGTTATCGACAGATTAAAGATTTGCAAATACTAAAAAAAACTAATTAAAAGAGCAAAAGTTAGAAAACTTTTTGGGTGCTAGTTAGTCATTATCTATTAGAATTGCCAGCAATTTAAGTTTTTACGCAAATCACTAAATAAGTCTAGAATCAAGAAGCAAGTGAATATGAAGCTATAAAAAAGGTAAATTAATCAAAAGTAAAGAAAAAGGAATTTTATTTCCAAGAGCAAACCAACGGATAAGATCGAGACTCGATATGACGAAGATGGATTAGAATACCACTTCTTGGAACAAGGAATGGATTTGTCATCATATTATCCGTAAGCACTGCATTTACTTGTCTTGAATATATATATATATAGTAATTAAATAACTGTCGGTTTATTTATATTTAAAACCAGCACCTTTCTGAATTTTTTCTACTTGATAATTTGATGACATTCGAATGATTTATGCAATGCTTTCAAATGTTTTGAAGAATTCTAAAAGATATTTTGAACTAGAAACACATTTCTTGGCATGATCAAAATCGCGATTATAGAAGTCGAGAATGGGATTTAATCAGTTTAACTAGTCGTCGACATGAGCGACTTTATCCTGGCTGTTGTGGACAGGAATTTTACATTGATGTCACTTTTCACTTGTCCCTTCGTCGTAAAACTTTGTTTTATACTGTAAATTTGGTCATTCCTTGCATGCTAATTGGTTAGTTCCTCTTCTGTTCATCAAATTCACAACAGTACTATTATGTTAAAACATTTGAGCTCTGCGTATTCTTTGCAGTTATTTACTTTAGAATGTATAGTATTTGCAACAGGCATAACAGTACTTGTTAAGAACGCGTAATCAAATTTATTTACTTTTTACTAATTATCAGTTATTTATTAAAATTTCTTGAATAGACAATACGTTTTAATTTCATTGCTATTCTATATGCAGTCATATTTTTTCTTTGTAGAGCAGTTATCTCAAGTAGAGAATCCATTTTCATTTCAGCGATACTTACAACATTTGTATTTTATATTCCTGGAATCGAGCACAAAGTATCATTTTCGATTGCTGTATTAGTTACTTTAACTGTATTCTATCTGGTACTCATCGATCTGATTCCTCCAACTTCAATGGTTATTCCACTGATTGGTAAATATCTTCTGTTCACGATGTTTCTCGTTTCTGCTTCGATTTTCCTATCTGTACTCACAGTTAGCTTCTATCGTCGGTATGTTCTAAAATCATTCAATAACTGGTCGTACAGTGGAATCCGATCTGAAGCTGAAATTGCTTCAGAAGATATTTTCTTTATATAACAATTTATTCTATTTTTCACTCATTTTGACACAATACGATAAATTTGTTAAAGTGTTAAAAAGACAAACATCTGCAAATACTCTTTTCAGCGAATCAGTTGCATCAAATATTTTCAGAAATTGATGAGACTTTTTGTTAACTTATAGAATCTGATATGTAGGCACATTCAATAAGTAACTGCAAATTCCCTCAATCACTTCGTTGGTTTTTTGATTACCATGATTTCAACCCACAATTTAATTATTTGATTTGTAAATATACATCATAAGTGAACACCGAAGAACAAATATATAAATAAACTTATAGCTTTTACGAAATTAAGTCATATGAAAAAATTTTAAAAGTTTTGAAGTGGAGGTACAACACATCCGATGCCTAAATGGATGCGCCACGTGTTTCTCAAAACTTTGCCGAAGTACTTATCTATAAAACCACCGGAAGCTGATGCTTTCGAAGAGAGCAGTAATCAATCTTCAGGTATTCTAATATGTACTCAGAAAATTCACTAATCCATTTTTTGTTACTTTCATTTACTAAACAATTTGCTGAAACCCCAGTTGAAATGAGTACTTCTTTTCGCATTAATGATTCAGTTTGAATAAGAATTCATGCATTCACTGCTATTCTTAGATCAAAGAGGGGCAACTAATAGTTGATTATTTATTTCAATTTTGCATCTACCAAAAAAAGCATTTATTTGAGTGAGCCAAATTTCTAATGGAATTTTTTCTGTGCATTAAGTGCTCATACAATAACTCGCAATTGTGAACAATTTTAATAAATGAATAAAGTTAATCGGATTTCAAATTGCTGTTTTCAAGACATGCTAACAAGTTCCAAAAGTTCAACATCACGTCGCGCAAGCCCATATTTTCTATCGGTTACGAATTTAATTGATGGTCAAATGCGATTATCACAATTAGCGCAACTACGCGGGATGCATCCTGATTTGATTCGTCGCATGATCGATAATGTATCTTTTATTGCCGACCATTTTCGGGCCATAAAGAAAGATGACCAAGTAAATATGACTTAATATTTCTATAAAGTACTTTTCACTCCTTTTGAACATATGGTTATTTCCACCCAAATATCTTTCACATTATTGATCTGTCCCACTATTTTGTTCAAAGATAAACAGATCATTTTCAATTGTTTGACATTATTTTTGGATATTTTCAACTTTTCATGCAGTAGTTCACTTTTGCTCTATATTAATGAAAAATTCAGGTATCAGAGGACTGGTGCTACGTATCAATGGTACTTGATCGGCTGATGCTAATAATTTTCAGTGTAATCAACATATGTGGAACTTTTATAATTATATTTCAGTCCCCTGCTTTATACGATAATCGTCCACCAATGACAATTACACCAGCCAGTAAACCATTAAGTGGTGACACCTTGGAATTATTCGTCAACACTTCAGCCATATAATAATCACATTGATATATATTTCATGTAATTAGTATAAAATTTTTGTAAGCATATGAAGATTTCTGAGTGGAAAAATTAATTCCTAACGTTAAAATAACGAAGATCTCAAAAATCTGAAATCTCCAAGTGATTATGCTGAGCTGAGTCTAGCTATTTGATCACACGTCTGTAACACATTGCATAAATTTGTTCGTAACGTTAAAATGACTTATAATTTGATGAAGACTATTAAATGATGTAATCAGAAAAGTGAAAATATAGTGTGCGCAGAGAAGTAAGTTCTGAAAACTAGACTTGTCACGTAAATTTATTCGTCAGACTAAGTAACATTATCCAATAACTGAAAGGTTACTTTTAAGAGAAAATTAGACAGTGTTACTCATATTTCTTGGCTGAAAATTAGTGATTAAACAGCTACCAGAATGATTAAAAATTGAACACACTTTGACAACACGCAAATCTTGGTAATAAGTCCTGGCAACACGTACGTGAGCAATGCTCTCGCATTATTATGACTTCAGAAAGCAAAACAAGTGACAAAAGACGAAATTTTTTCTCTCCTCGTTAGGTGTTGTCTTTTGCATTTGTAAACATAAAATTTTTGAGGCCTATGAAAAAAAAAGGATATAGCAAATTAAGATCAATGCTCGCTAATGATTTTTGAAATAGATTCGGATAGACGGATCGTTCCCGACTACACCACAAGAATGCGTTCTAAGTTTAGCCACAGTACTGCATTTCACTTCGAGGAATCAAGAACCCGTTGTATGTGAAGGCCGCGTTAAAATAGTCAGCAATGGACATGTAAGCAATGTACCAAAATTATTTCTAATTTAAATTGTCATTTGGAGTTCTGTTCTCAGTATTCTCAACGACTGCATCGTCTGTAGCTGTGATTTCATGAAAACAAATCTTCTAGCTTTGGAATCAAGTTTCTCATGTACGTATACGTTTCAAGTGAAGTATGCTTGTCACTGTTTTACTTTTCACTCGTTCTAATTCTCAGTTTTTGAGAAGCAAATTTACGACCCGTGTGACTTGACTGTTTGCACTCTTTTGCTGCTGTTAGTCAAGGAATATAGAAGTTAGACTATCAATTAATTCTTATTGATACTAATTGCTATAAACAGATTGCAGTTGCGTTTTAGAGCAGTTAAAAACTTTAGTAGTGGAAAATAATGCCCTTTATTTTATTGGCATGCTGAAAAAGTCAGTAAAGTTTATGAAAGTATTTACTATTTAATAATGATATTATCAGAAATATAGGCAGTAATGTATGACATTATATGTAAATTTCAATTTTTTATACTCTAAAAGCATTTGTTAGATTTGATGAGAGAAGAAATGCAGTGTTGTTGTTTTCAGATCGGATATCCGAAATCTAATATGCGTGAAATAAATGGTTCCATATTACTATGTTTTATCACTATAAACGTTTGCTTGGGTTTCTATTTGCCTGGTCTCGCACCGGTCAATTTTTGCGAGAAAAAAGACGAAAAGCCGTCTTGTCCAGTAATTTTTGTTTTTTAAATTCAGACTTATTCATTTTCTTTTCCACTTATTGTCCCTCGTATGTTGCTTTTACTACTTAGCTTTATATGTTGAGCTAATTAAATTTGTTTTTGTTTTGAAGTATTACTGACTAACAGTAAATGCATTTTTTTTCAGAGTAATGTATCTCTTTTTGTGAATAGATTAGACAGTGACCAGAGTGTTATTCCATTCGAATATCACAGGTAAATTATACTCGTGTTGCTTCTTGTACTGCTTTATGAACGGACGTCATATCCAAGTTTTGGTAGCGAAAAATTTCTTTAACACTGTTCAGAAGTTTTTTTCGCACTGCTCTGCATCACTGGCGATTTTTCTAGCAGTTAGTTTCAGTTTCGATTTCTGTATTGGTAGTGAAAAGGAATCACCTGTCGAAAATCTTGGTCAAGTATTGTTTGGAGAACGAATTAGGCCTAGTCCTTATAAAGTATGAATTTGTTTTGATATTGATGGTCTTGGATAAAAATTTTTGGTACTAGTTTATCAAATAAAAAGGTTTTTGGCATTCTTTGCTTCTCTAAATTACTCATAAACATCTAATTATTTAGTGATTTCAATTACTGGCTATTATCAAAACCAAATATGTATGTATCGATTTTCGGCATTCGTAATTCTAATATTGTTATGAAAAGCAAATAAATATCTTTATCATTCTGGTGAGTTTTTAATAAAGGCATTTGATCACTAGCTTTTTTCAGATCAGCTTCAATGAACCGCAACAGTGTACACTTCTATGCGAACGGGAGTATAAAGATGGTGATTCAGATGCAGAAAAAAGGATTCGATTACTTCGAAAAGGAATGAAATTAAACTATCAACACCACTGGTGATTTTTCTAAAAGCTTTTATTACTCTTTCGTTTTTTAATAGCTTATTTCACTTGAAATCAAAATGTATTAGCATATATGTTGAATGTTTCGATTATTAACGATAACCAAATAGTTTCGTACTTTTATGATTATTCACTTTATTATTTAAATCACATTTACAGAAATATCGGATGATTAATAAAAATGAGTGATCCGGGAGCAATCCAATCTACTCAATTGCCTTTTCATTGAGAATAGATATTTTCGGATAATGTTAATTGTACATTTAAATGACCAGTTATTTTAGGATATTGGACAATATGCCGATGACATTCTGCTTTATCAATCAACAAAATCAGAATGTCTGTACAACTGGCTTTCCAATGGGCTGTTATGTGACAAGTGACGGTAAACCAAAAGACGCTTGCGTTTTAGATTCACGCTACAGACTACCTGATAGTTACTACATCTTCAATCATGTGGACATTCTTATCGAGTATCGAGATATGAGTCGAGATCCAAATTTTTTGGAAGAACATTTAGGAGGACGAATTATTCGGATTAAAGTTCAGCCAAGAAGTATCGAGCATAAAGCAAGCGATAAGCTTGATTGCAGTCTTAACGCCCCTCCTTTTGCTATCAAGGCTGCTGAAAAGCCCAAGAAAATCATCTATACATATTCTGTCGTTTGGGAGGTTTGTTTCAATGTAAACTGATTTGTCTTCATATTCCATAAGAATATGCGAAGTAGGATTTGCGTAGTTGGTCTCCAAATTATTATTCTCGTAATGTTGTTCATAGATCATTTGATTTGCATCATTACAGACTACTAAAGTGAAATGGTCGTCTCGATGGGATTACATTTTAGATTCAGTACCACATTCCAATATTCAATGGTTCTCGATCATGAATTCACTTGTCATTGTTCTTTTCCTTTCTGGAATGGTTACTTTTTGTTTGAGACAAATTTCAATATTCATATAGTAGTATTTCTTATGGTTAACGTAATTTATCATACACTGAAGTTTATTATGGGCGTTCCTAAAAGTAATGGGAATTTTTAAATGTCTTATCGACTAAAATTGACGGTTTATAAATATATGTATTTTTAGGTAGGCATGATTCTTCTTCGTACTCTGCACCGCGATATTGCTCGATACAATCAACTTGACAATGAGGTTTTTTTTTTTGCTTCTGTAAGAATTTTATAAATTTCCTTTGAAACAAACCTATGAAAGTATTTCATAATTTGTGGAAAAAAATTCTTGTATTGCACTTGCAGATTTTCTTTTGAATCTAGATCTCTTTAATAGATGAAAGATAGCAAAATTTCAGGAAGATGCACAGGAAGAATTTGGTTGGAAACTAGTCCATGGCGACGTTTTTCGTCCTCCTCGAAATGCTATGTTTTTGTCTGTGTTTGTCGGTAGTGGATGTCAGGTGCTTCTTATGGTAGCTGTCACTCTGGGTATAAATTTTTGCTTGCTAAATGATGTTTGATATACTTCCTGATCTGAAGAATTCTTATTTTGTTGCAAAAATATGAAGTCCAAATTTTTTCACATATGTTTAAGCTGTCAATAAAGTATTGTAGGCATTATATGTGGCTGAGATTCCAAAAGTTATTTAAATATTTTTTAGAGTATTTGAAATAATAAAAATTGTTATTTCGTTATTTTAGTTTTCCTGTAAACTTGCCGCAGCGAACTGCCCTTCATTTAATGTATTTTAAAAGATGCTGGTATATGTAAGCAAATAAATTAATTTTCAGTGTTTGCTTGCCTTGGATTTTTATCTCCGGCAAATCGAGGATCTCTGATGACCTCTGCACTCATTTTTTATGTTCTGTTTGGTATTGTTGCTGGTTATGTTTCAGCAAGGCTTTACAAAAGTTAGATTTCTTTTGTTTGTCGGATGTTTGAATGGAGATACATTACTTTAGAATCACAATAATAATTTTTTATATATTTTAAACCTTTTGTAGTCAATAACTGGTTTTTAAAAAGTTTAAGCAGTGGTATAATTACTTATGTATGCATTTTTTTCTTAGCAATGAATGGTTTTTCATGGAAAACGAATGTGATAATGACGAGTTTTCTCGTTCCGGGGTAAATTTCTTAAATTTATTTTCTAGTCGCTCATATTCTTTTTGAATTATTAAAAATTGACTGAGTGATTTTAAAACAAATCTAAAGGATTATGAGCTCAGTGTAAACCACAATACTAAGTTATGAATAATATTTTTGTGATAAGTTACCATAGATTATTTTTTTATTGATGTCAAAAACTTAACCTACTTTTAAAAAATAATTTTTTTAGAATTGTGTTTTCTATATTTTTCGTTTCCAACTTATTGCTGTGGGCAAAAGGATCGTCTGCAGCCGTACCTTTTGGTACTCTTGTTGTGCTTTTATTTCTTTGGCTTTTTGTTTCTATTCCACTAACGTTCATTGGGTCTTATTTTGGCTTTAAAAAACGTGTAAGTACAATTCGGTTCTATATTACAGAAATAGTTTTGTTGTATTAAAAAACTATGAAAAGGATGTGACACTAAATTTTTTATGATTAGCAGTAATCTGCTGAATATTGGTAAGATTACACTTCTGAAATTCGATTTATATCAACTGTCCTAGCACTATACACTTCTTGTTTGCCGGGTTGTTTTTGAATATTGTTTGATTTTTCGAAATCTGGCCATTAATCATTGTGTTATAATTATATTTAATGTATGTACCATTACATTGTAGCTCTTTTATTTTACAGCCAGTCCAACATCCGGTGCGCACAAATCAAATTCCACGTCAAGTGCCAGATCAGTCAGTATATACTAAACCAATTGCAGGAATGCTTATGGGCGGTATCCTTCCATTTGGATGCATTTTTATCCAGCTATTTTTTATTTTAAAAAGTATTTGGTAAGAGTAAGCATGTTTTAATATCCATGTTTAGTTTCAGCATTATTTTCATTCAGGACTTTGTGTCAAGTTGGTATAGAACTTGATGTTGTTCTTTAAATTTCTGGTGATTTTGTTGACATTCTCATAGTAAAACATTTAACACGATTTTTTGCAGGGCGCATCAAACATATTACATGTTTGGTTTTCTGTTTCTTGTATTCCTGATTTTAATTATAACATGTAGTGAAGCAACAATACTTTTGTGTTATTTCCACCTCTGTGCTGAAGTAAGTGTCTGATAATAGTTGAAAATTAGTTTTTTATCTAGGTGTGACTCATTATCGGTTAGATTAATTTGAAATTGTAATTTTTTAGAAGATTAAAATTATAATAAAATTTTCTGTATAAAATTTGTCTTTTCAGAGTCTAACATGTAGTGTATGTAATGCAGTTTAAAGTAATTTTACTCTCTTTAAGGATAGCATTTAAATATTTTGATAAAAGTATCTGAGTTGCAGGACTACCATTGGTGGTGGCGGTCATTTCTCACTTCAGGTTTCACGGCAGTCTATCTGTTTGTGTACTGCATTCATTTCTTTACTGCAAAATTGACCATAACAGGCGCTGTGTCTACCATTCTTTATTTTTCATATACTTTTATTATCGTCTTCATGTTCTTCTTAGCGACTGGTACTTTTTTACACTTATTTGCATAATTGATATTTAAAATCATGAAGCATTGCATTTTTTATTTTCTTTTTTAAAACATAAGTATTAGTCATGTAAGAAATGGTGATTTTCGCCTACACTGCTTTTTATTAATTATATTTAAGGTGCTGTCGGTTTCCTGTCAACATTTTTTTTCGTAGAGAAAATGTATGCATCAGTAAAAGTCGATTAATGTTTATGATCGGGAAACAGAAGAGACATACGATCTGGTGACAATGAGATTTGGTTCTGAGGTTTTTTGCCAAACGTAAATTGTGATTCTGTGTGATTCTGTTTGGTATTTAATTCCTGGTTCATGAAGTTAGCAGATTTTCTTGTGACACTTTTTACTTGCGCACCGTTTCTATTCTCACAAGTTTCATGAAATTGATCGCAGATACTCGAGAAGTAAACACTTGCATAAGTGAGCTTGGTAAAGGCCTTTTTTTAAATTTATTTTGTTTTCTTACAAAACTTTCTTGTAAAGAATTTCATACTATAATTGAGTAGTTAAAATATTCGCTTTACTTTACACTTCTATTTGTTTTCTTTAATTGTGTTATAAAAGAAATTTATGCAATAGCTGTACTTTGTGACAAATAATGCAATTCACGTATCCTTATGTCATCTAACTTATTCAGAAAGTATATAATTGTTATTTACAATTTCTGATATATCGTGCTGACGAGAACATTATACATCATTATGAAGTATACTATGTATATCATAAATAAAAAGAAATAATATTTTGCTGGTGTATTCTGTAATTAATCCGTCTGGGGATTCAGCGCTGTTTTGTTCTATATTATCAGAACTTTTTATGATAGAGATATTCCACTGTTCTTTTTTTACATTCATATCCATTTTAAGGTAACCGAAAATTTCCCATCAAAAATGTTGCAGGATTGCATCTTTTCAGAAATTCAATTCTATGAATTTCAGTGCGAAAGTCAGAAGGAAAGAGTGCGCAACATAGTTCCCATTACATAGCAAGTAACTACAGTTTGGACGCAGCTCCCTTTCCGCACCGTTATTGTAGATGTTTGTTTATCTCATTATGCATTTATGATTACAATTTACTGGTGGGATTTAGAGCTGCATATTTTCTCGTTCTGATCTCTGAATATTATGTTTTCTCTTCTCCACACTGTATTGTTTGTTCGATGCTGTGATACCACTCAGTTGGATATGACACACTACCGGACAGTATATGTTTACATTCGGAGTTTGTGTGGGCTTATTGAATTCAATCTATTTAACATTTTGCGTTTTAATTTATGGTTGATGAACCACTCTTCGATAAGCAGATGATACATCTGCTAGTCAACTTTTGGCATGTCATCAGTAGAGACACTATTTTAGGTCACTAATATTAGTAATTAAAAATTACGGTAGAGTGCAAATACTGTTTCATCTATATTTTTATCCATATTTATCCATCTCAATACTGCGTGGGATTATCTCGGAAAACGATTTCATAGCTTTTAGTGATCATAATTTATTTACAATTTTCATGATAATATTATGGAATTATCTATTGACGAAAGTGAGATACAATTAGTCACGGATTATAATTATTTAGGAATTGGTTATTTTTGATAAAAATCAGTCACTGACTTTCAAAAAATCTTCCAGACCCTCATCAAGAGTACTGAATGTTAATTAGATTACTTTATAGTTAATGGAATCATTATTAATAGTATGAAATGCAAGCCATAATTCCAGAATCATTATTTACAGGAAGAAGCTTTACTTCACTGTATGCTCAGCAGTTTATCATTTTCCTCATGCCAAGGTTAATTTGTAAGAACTTTTGGTCAGGATTCTGAACAGTATAATTTTGCATTCCTAATTCTAAGTGATGCCTAGATCTATCTATTACTGAAAACTGCATTACTTATTTTTTCTGCGTCATAACTTGGAATAAATTGAAGTTAGAATTATTACCATAACTAATAATTTTTGAGTTGAATGAATATTGCGCTATTAATATTTTTCAGCAAAACACTCTTTAGACAAAAAAAGACAAATGCGCAAAAAATTAAGCAAGAAAATTGCTTAGAAATAGTATAAATTTCTTCACTGTTTACAGTACTAAAATTTCAAAATTAGAAATTAGAAATAGAAGAAAACATTTTAAAAAATCCGTGTTGAGCCAATTTTGACGACATATTTAGGTTGCGTTAATTTCAAATGGAATAATCAGCGGAATCCCTCGACAATGTTAACTTTTCACTCTTATCCTTGTCATCAAAACAAATCATTTCTGAGAATCCATAGTGCACAAAAATGGATTATTGATTTAAGTCCTTATGTAAGTGAAGAAATATTGCTGCAAAATTTTAATTAAATAATTTTTGGAATGGTACGTTTATTTTGATGGATTGTAAGTAAAGATGTCACTCGATATATGTATTTCTAAGAGTTTGTGCTTGCCTCAATTGTTTACACAGCAATGCTAATTCCTTATCAGATGGCAGCTAGCTATTCGATAACTGATAAGGACATTCAATGTTCTAGGAAAAAAAAGCGAAAAATGCTTCTTTATCATATTTTTCAAATAAAATGGTTAGTGTTTCAGATCATAAATTAGCTTTTAATAATTGATTAATGATCAGGTTATATAAGGATTTGAATTTTTCTCACATATAATTTAAGCAAAATATTCGGAAACACAAATCTAAATTTTCACCACACATATGGTTGAAATTCCAATTTCAAATCAAACTAGCTAAAATACAATAGAAGGAAAAGGGAAGAAAATGCTTCTTCATCATAAAAGTTAAATTAGCAATCGAATCTCTTAACGATACTGCAAAATATGAATCTGTTCTTGATAATCAGTGATTGTAAAGAAGTAAAATATGAACGTAAGCTAATAAGATTTGTAACTGTTAAAAAACCTTCTCTGAAAATTAAGCAAACAATCGGAATGTTAATAATTTGTCGAACGTTTGTTTGAGTATTAATATTCATAATTTTTTTAGCTTTTGAAAATCAAAGATTAGAACTTTGATATAAGTTCTATTCTAAATTGCATTACCGTAACATAGCACAGAGGAAAAATTAACAGCCTTGAGAGAAAAACTGTTAACTTTGGTTGATGCTTACAAATGTCTCGAAAATACAACTAGAAAAAGTAATTTGTGGATTTTGAAATTGAAGTCTAAATACATTTACAAAGGATGCGAAAAGTTATGGTTGAAACTGAAAAGTTAGTCTCATGCAAAGATGATCAAATAAGTGGTCACTATATTGAAAAGAGAGCAATACTCATAAATTTATAAAAACGTAATTTACAAACTTAATTTCTAAAACAGTACTCCCAAAAAATACAAATATAACGTGAAAAACTAATGAAGACAGTATTTATAAACTTTTGTAAGTAAGTGTTCTTAGGGGACGCTAAGCAGTTGAAGAGCAGAATTAGAGTGAGCTTTTATGCAAATTTGTGTTTTTAATTCAAATTACTCAGTCATTTTGTGTTTCTATCATTCAGAATTTAAGATCAGTTCTAAGTCTTTATGCTATCTGAAAATAATAGCTTTATTCGATAAAATTGTCGACGATTTCTCATTAAATTAAATTTGACTTATTACAGTCAGTCACTTCAATTCTGAAATCAGCTTGCTTCATTATGAAAAAGATTGTCAACTTAGAATTTATCAGAAAGTGGAAAAATGAGTTATGGAAAATAAAATGCCAAAAGGATCAATTTTGGATTATCAATTTTTGCGATAAATCTGTGTACAACTTGAACAAATTTATTTTCGCTAAACAGCACTGCTGCGCAAGAGACATTGCGCAAATAATCGCAGAAGTTGAAAGAGTGTTATCTACATTAGAGATTTCAGGAATTAAGCATAAAATAGTTGAATTGGAATTTTAAAGTGACTTACAAAGTTTTTAAAAGTTTTTAGAGCTGTAATTCTATATTTGATATTGAAAATTGAAAGCGCCTGAAATGATAATTTAAAAAAATTTTTTGCTAATATCTGAATCTCTACTGGTGGTAAAGAATAGCGATGAATGGAAGTTTCGAATAGTAAAATATTATAAATATTTAGCTTATTTCAGTGCTAAAACTTTTTGCTTACTGGCTAATATTAAATTCAAAATTCAACACACATTTTTAAGCTTCGATGAGTTAATTTGTACAGAAATTTGACACCAAATTCATACAAATATTGTTACTTTTGAAGCAAATTTTGTGAATAAAATTTTGGTTAAATAAAAAATGATAAATAATTTAGTGAAATTCGTCAAGTTTTGGTTAAAATAAAGCAAGAAACCGCAAGGTAAGAAACGACAAAATGTGTTAAAATGATACGGAATGAACAAGAAATGACTTTATCAGTTGTGATATGAGTTGATTGATAGCAGAGCAAGTAGAGAGATATCTGTTTTAGTTGATAATGGTGGCTGCTGATAGGTTATCAATCTTTGTAGTGATAACTAACAAGCATACAGGACAGACAGTCCCGAATATTATTTAGCTCTAATATTGATGGTAATAAGGTGATTAAAATGATACCTTGCAAACTGATGGATAAAAACAATTATGCATAATTAAGTTGATAGTTCTTATCAGTCAGTTATGATTAATTGCACATCACAGTTTTAGCTAGATGCACTTTGAATAAACACTACAAATATGGCAGAATTATTAAAAATACTAATTTTTCCATGACAGTTTTGAAATAATTGATTGATTTTTTTCCAAACAAGAAATCAACAAATTAATTCTTAAGATTTGATCGTAATTTTTATTTAAAATGGATAGAGTACGATAGCTAGCAGTAATACAAACAAAAAATCAAAAAATTGTCAACCTAAAAAATATAAATAATTTTTAAATTTTACTAAATTATTAATTTAAAGAGGCCATTGTGGCTCATCTGAATAAATTTACTTTTATTTGTGTTATTAGTATGACCCAATAATAGTTCTTGTGATACTTTTTATCATCATTCATTCTGCTTAGACTTAATTATTACCATCTTCTCTTTTCACTTTTATTAATCTTCTTTAAATAATGGCAATATGTAAGTTTCGTACTGAACATCGACTGTACCTTAGATAGATAAATAAGACACTGCTCAGTATGTGCTACGGTAACAAACTCGTTAAACTTGCATATTGCTCTATCCTGCTCCGTCCCACCCATCTGATATCATTGGTTAATTTTTATTGGTTGGTTGTTAGAGTCATTTTGTCATCCTTTAAAACTCTTCGGAAGCTTTCTAAATAATTTCAGTCATTACTTACTTTTCATTTGTTTTTTGCCTACCACTTTACTACATTTAGCTTCTATTTATTACATTAAGTAATGTAAACATATTTGTCATTTTCATGAAAATTTATTCGAAATTTACATTACTTTCCAATATTTTATGCTTTTGAATCTCTCCTTTGTTTTCTAATTTAAGTAATTTTTTGATTAAAACAAAGCAAAGTACTAATTAAATTTAAGTACTGTCATTCATAGTTTCATTTATAATTATTTTAGAGTAAATATGTAATAAAAAATTTCCGAAACTTTCTCATTTGCAGTTGAACAATAAATTTTTTTTATCTGAGAGTTTATTCCAAGTTGATAAGATAAGGCGCTCACACCCCGTTATTGAGCAAATTGGATCAACATTTAAATAAACAGCACTTTATTGATCACACTGCCATGAAAAAATGCGGAGAATTTGATATCTTTGAAAAAGCAATTTAAAATGAACTGTATAGCTTTGTAATCACGTCAATATACAAAAAATGAACTTTATGATATTTTGAGTTTCAGATGTAATAACACTGCACTTTATGAATATTTTGTTTGAATAAACGATTCGAAAGCAAAAAAAAATCAACAAAATAATATGATAACTGCTAGAAATTTTGACTTGAATAGTTTCTGTATTTTAGTTCTAAGCAATCATCCGAATGAAGTATTGCTTTCATCCAGAGTATTTCAAAAATTTTGGGATTGAAAGGCATAAATTATCTTGTGTGCAGTATCAAAGTGCTTGATGTGTTCATATACTTGCAGTTTTTGATACTTTGTTTTTTCATTAAAAAATAAATGTAAATTTAGAAAGTCAAGAAAGATCTGGAAAAGCATGGAGATAGGTCCAGTACAGGCCTGGAATAGTACTGGGATATCGACAACAATTAAAGACACCAGTGGAAATCATTCTGATGTATTCTTACAGTTATCGTCAAATAATAACACTGATATCAATAATGGTAATAACAATAATGATCAAAACGAAGCTTGCTTGACTTTTTCAACCGCTAACATAGTGAAGCGAGAAATTGCTGCAAGTATAGGTGAGAAATCATCAGGAATGTTCACGTGATACACAATATCATACATATATAGTATAAATATAATAATGATTATATAAAAACAATTAGAAAAATAAACAGTAAGCTTGAGAATTCATCATAAAACTAAAATAAGATATAAAAAATTCATGTTGTCGATGTATAATAGTACCAAAATGTTAAAGTGATGCAATACTAATCAAAATACTTCAATTTTTTAAATTTCCTTCTATAGTTATGCTATATACAAAAAGTTACAGTCAGAAAACTTCAAATAATTCTCCCCGAGCATTTATATTTTTTTTCGAGCAATCGCTTCTCATGAGAAATACAAAATGCAGTGCGAATATTCAAAAGACTAGTAGTTCTAGCTGAATACGATCAAACGAGATTTCGCTTAAATTGTATCGTATGCACAAGATAAGGATGTATTGGTAATTCTTGAAAAGTTTGTTTCTCCTAATTTAGGAACTAATGCTATTCGTCAGTCGGTAGTAGTGGAGCCCGGTTCTGTCAATACTCATGATGGCACAATGGAAACGAAATTAAATACATCTAGTTTTTCTTCGTTGTTGCCAAATCTTGCTCAAACTTCTGGTAAATTGTTTATTCAGAATGCAAATTTACTGTAATACTTGAAATGAGTTTATAATACAAAATCGATCAGTAATTACTTAAAATTAAATAGAGAACTATTACTGAATCAACTGCTTTTGACAGTGGCATGGTTTTACCACAGTATCCAAAACTTTGAAACTAAAACTGCTTATTATAACTGTATAAATCACAACTTTTTTTTTGAGTGCTGATATATAAATAAAGCCGATAGTTTTACCGCACTAATTATCTCTAGATAATTTGCTTATATACTTTGCAGACAATTTCAGTGAAAATAGAGCATATATATATACATATATATATACTCTATCTTCACTGAAAACCACAATTAATAATTTTAAAATCTAAACTAAGATATATATATATATACTCAAAAAAAAAGTTATGCTATATACAGAAAGTTACAGTCAGAAAACTTAAAATAATTATATATATATATATATATACTTAAAGAATAGTGATGTCTTCCTTTATGATACTTTTATTACATGCTTCGATATCAGTTCAAACAAATTTTAACTTCCTTATTCTATAATTACCATTTTAGGAATGATCAGTATTTTAGTTTCTGCGGAATTTTTGATGCGATAAAAAAGTGCCTCAAAGATTTGTACCCAAAAAAAATGTATTCCAAATTTTTTCAATTGTATGATCCAAAAATATTTCTCCCTGGTCACTATAACTAATGGTTTTTTTGTGTTTGTGCCATGGAAAATATTATTGTTCACCCTTACAGAATGCCATTTCAATAATGCAAATAAATTGTAAAATCATGAAATATTACTAAATTTTAGTAGAAAGCACAAAGAAGAGCTTTTGCCATTCAAAAATTTTAGATTAATAATGTTTTGCAAACAATATTCCAACATAGTTTGATTATCTCATTCAATCAATTAGCAATAAACCTTTCTACAAACAGAAGTGGTAACCACGGTTCCTTGTCATCAGTACTCGGATTACGATTCCAAATTATGGATGAGCCAATCAGGTGTGAGCCTATATCCAAGTTGTGCAGCAGCTCTCGAATCTCCGCAGTATCATTATGCTGCAAGCGTTACACCTCAGGCCTGTCTTATGCAGCAGTCTTTAAATACCGAACTCATCCCAACGGCAGGCATTCAGTCATACAATGTTACCGGTACGACACCACAACTGCCAAGGTTTTCACAACATTTGTTTTTTTGATTAGTCACAAGAATCAAGTATTAGTTGACTTCGTTTGGACCAAATCAAAGAGAGATAGAAAGCAACTATATGTATTTTGGTACCTTTTTGGAAAAGACAATATTTTAGAGAGTAATAATTTGACCTGACATCACAATATGTTTCATACAGTATTTAGGATTTCAGAAAAACGATTAAATATTATCATTTTTTATTTCCTGATTATTCACACCATATACAAAGGTGCATTTGAAGATGTATCATTTACAAAGGGATAGCAAATGTTATGAATTTTCGCTTTGGTGTTGAGATTTTACTGTTAAATAAAATGTTGCCTTCGGGTAAATACTATTTTGCGAATGAGGAATTCTAAAGTTGTTCAGCTATTTGGTATTTTAATAATTTAAATGAATTTTGGTAGTTACGATGCGTTTCGAATGAGTACTGATCACGACGCTCTCACAACTTACCATATTCCACAACGAAATACTGCAAACAGTGATGCAAACTTTTGCATGTTTTCCGCGCAATCGGTAAATACTTCAAGCTTCATATTCATGGAATTGTCGTTAGCAGTAATTGAGGAATAATTATTACTGAGTTGTATGAAAAGCTCTATCGCAAGATCTTTAATAACTATTAATAAGTTCGAATTCATTAAAAATTTAGTGTCTTAATCTTATCATCATTTATGAAATTTCTTTTGCCTGAATTAAATATCTGAAAAAATATTTACTTGAAGAGTTTATTTTGGTTTTAATACTTTAGAGTATTTCTCAGCCTACTGCACAATCAGCAACAGCGACTACAACACAGTGCCAACAATGTGGAATTTACACGTCTGATATCGTTTGCAGCGGTACTTCTATAATTTGTACCAAATGTGCATCTGACTTAATGGTGCAATATAGCACAAGTAGATCTGACGTGTCACAGGTAATATTTCAGATAATAATAACTCAGATATTACTTTGGCAGAAAATATATAACATAAATATGATGGATAGAGCTTTGCTTATAAACATTAAAAATATTCGATGAATGACTGAGTTCTGCGGATAATTAATATTTAAAAAATAATTTTTGTTGAAAAAGTTCGTAGAAAATTGAATTTTTAATTTATTATGTTTGGCAGAAGCTTTGCTGTCAGAAACTGATGTTAACAAAAAATAAACGCTTTAAACTGAGGCTGAAAGTGTTTTTTCTTGTATGCATAAAATTTTGGTAGCAATTCCTTCCAATTTTTGAAAAAAAATAATGTAAAATATGAATTACGAATAACTGAAGCAATTTAACATGGAAATTAAAGAACAATGTGCATTAAGAAAAGCTGTAAAAATCATTCTCGGTAAAAATAATATAATGGATACTTGCTGTATGAAAATATAATTGTTTTAAATAATTATGTTTCAAAATAAAAAACGGATACTTTTATTAATTCATTAAATTTCTTTTATTACTTCCAGCACATCGTTTACTCACCATTTCTGGCTACATCTTGCGCAGTTCTAGAGAATGATGAGCAATCAATGGTCAGTGGTCAGCAGCAATCTTCTCGAAATAGTTGCATCAGTGCTCGGAATCGGCATCAGCAGAGAAAAACTCAGGCAGCAAATATTGCTATTTAATTTTATAACGGATTTGATCTTAAAAAGATTTAGCTCGAAAATTTTAGAAAATTAATATCAATATAATTCACACAGCAACATACTGATCATCATTAATGATTTGCTTCTGTAGCAATCTACTCGAACCGAAAATATTGAATTAAACTTTTTTTCCGCATCTCATTAAATTTGTTCTAATTAACAGCAGTAAGATGTTTTGCTTGCACATCTTTATACATTCAAATAATACTCTATTGCAGCAGATTCAAAATTTATTCATCAGCAAGCTGTAGTTATTATTTAAATTAATTATATAATATGACTTTAAAGTTTTAATTCGAAGCAAATTTTATAAAAATTCAATGACAAATTTTCAGCCTCAAAATAATTCCCAGCGACGACAAGGCTTAGTCTGTGCTAATTGCGGTGGTACTAATACTACCCTCTGGAGACGTGATGCTGATGGCCATCCAGTATGCAAGTACGTTATATTTAAATTCACTCAGAAGTTTGCAATATACTGATTTTTAATTTATAAGCTGTTGTACTCAATTATAGTGAGTGTTTAATGAAAAATTTAAAAGTACCTAAATTGGCTTGTATAGCTGAATGGTACCAATGAAACTAGACTGTACCAATTTTAAAATATTGCAGATTTCTACATTTACTTCCATGTAGAATCAATGTTTAACATTAATTTAGTGCTTGTGGCTTATATTACAAACTTCATCAAGTCAAGCGTCCAATTTCAATGAAAAAGGAAGGCACATTACAAAGGCGAAATCGTAAGCAAAAATCGGATAATGCTGGTGTACTGCGACAACCCGCAACATCTAAAAAGCTGTCCAGTAATCATCACAGAAATAATAGTCGTATGTATGCAGATGCGCATTTAGGTTAACAGCAGTTTCCTCTTCATAAATTTCCAATCATTCTAAGAAGATGATTAAATATTAATCCAGGAGATAATAAAGGTTAAAGGAGAGCCAAAAGCTATAACAAAATGAACATTTTTTTAGCATCAACATCATCTTTAATCACCGCAAAATATATGAACACGAAATATTCATTGAATAACACTTGCGTGATTAATGGTGCAAGTAATATGACAAGTAATTCGATGAGTGAAACTGGTTCTGCAGCAGCTACCAGTTCTGGTTCTAGTATTAGTACTAATGTTGGTGATTTGATTCAACCTTATAATGTTATCTCATCAGTAGGCACCGTAAATGATGATCAATTATATACATGGAATACGGGCAATCATTACAGTACTAATCAAGGATTAGCATTACCGGGTTAATTTGTTTTTCTTCATTTGATATTCTCGATAAAGGTTTAGCTAGTTTCATGATATAACACTTATTCTACTACTGATGCTAATTGTGCTAATTTTGTGAGAAGCTATTCTATTTTACAGGAAAATAAACTGGAAACTTGTGTGAAATTGAAATATTTTAACAGTACACATAGATTGTTTTGCTTCAAATAGTATTTCTAGCCAATGCTGATAATTATTTGAAAGAAGTCATTAAATTCGAACAAAAAATGCTTGGATAAATATACTTTATTTCAGGTCTGAATACAAACAACTTACTATCGCAATCATTATTCCCGGGTGTTCAATATGATGCAACATCGCAATCAGAATCATTGACCACTATTGGAATACCAACTGAGGTTGCTCAACTTTTAGAATTTGTAATCGTAAAATTTTTTGCTTTTTTCTTTCAGCGTTTGGTTAGAAAAATAACTTAAACAACTTCTGTAGTACAATAATTTTACAAATCCATACCTTATTGCTGAATATTAAAACTGCATGGATCGCAAAATTTGATCGAATAGAAAACTTATTTTTGGCAGTTTTATTGCCAAAGCAATAATTGGTGATAAAAATAAGAAAATTTAATATTTTCTGATGATAGTGAAAAGTGAAATAGTAACTTTCCGATAAAAGAAATTCGTAATAACGATAACCAAAATGATTTCTGATCCAAAGCATCAAAAATCCTGCTAAAAATTTGAAATGTTTAGTTTCATGTTGTATACTTGAATATCAACATCTGTTTACTAAAAATCAACTCTTCATTACTGATATTTTAACCATTAATTTTTAATTAGTAATATTTTACTGTTAATAATAATTCAAGGTTAACACTTTTATTAAAAACTTTTATTTGTATTTTATATCTAAACTCATAACACTACAAAAACTCCAATGAATTTAAAAGGTGATTCGAAGAAGTGAAGAAGAAGAAACAGTTGCTGCAGTACATTCACTTCAAGCATTTAAAGAAGACTGCTTGGATTCAAGCGTTTTGAATGGTAAAAAATGCGATTAAATTTGTCATTTCGATTAATCAAAAAGAAACTCTGCACCGAAATTAATTTTTCTAATTAAGAAATATATTTAGTGAAATTCATACAAAGTATCCATATAAAATTTTTTGCTCTGCCCCAAGAAAGTATCTATACGCTCAAAAATTACGTGAAATGCGCGGTAAGCTTATTCAAGGCCTTACTTTATTCATAATGTGCCCAATATTTATTACTTTTATCTGTGTATTAATAATTGGTTTTATATAATGTTTTCTTTATTTCATACAGGTTCTGTTTTACAAAATATAAAACCAGTCCTTTTTTAAAGAATTGAAAGTATAGCAAGAAGTTTTATTTTCGGTTTCGCAAATTATATACAGTAGAAGTTGTAAACTCTTGTGATCTAAGCATGATCTGCGTTATTTTCATCATCAAACTTAATGTTTTGAGCAAAAGAAATTTCCTGTCTTTGATACTGTAATTAGGAAAATAGAAAGAGGCAATAACTACAAATATTTTCCTGCTTATATTTTTTATCAGCTTAGAACATAAAAGTACTAAAATTCTGAATCCAACCATTATTTTTGATCCTCATAAAATTGTACAGTGACTACTGAATGTTTTTTTTACCTTTTATGTTGTTCTTATCCGGTACATATTGAAACATTACCATACAGTATGTTTGCTCAGTTTCATATTTGAATTAACTCACTACTTCATATATTTTTGATATTTTGAAAATAACTCTACATTGCTCATGCAGAATGCAGACGATGTACATATATGTAATGAATATATTTTTCAAATTGTAATCACTGCTTGTTCAGTTATTTATGTAGTGAATTCGTCTAAATCATTCAAGTTAATTTATTTTATTTGCAGTAACATCGATGTTTATGTGCCATATTCATTTTCAATCATTTTTTGTACAAATTTAATAGTTAAAGCCATATGAATTTAAGTGTTGCACAGTAATAAAATATTTTTTAAACCATCTACCAAATTAAACATAATGTTTATCGTATCTTTTCCATGTGGCTCAACTTTGATACTTTTATTTGTCTTCATATTGTAATCTCAGTTTATTTTGGTCTTCAGATGTTATAAATTCCCAGTATATTAATTAATCGAATATCATTAATACAATAAAGACCTACTTGACATCAAAGCTCAAAAGATATCAGTTAGAACTATTGTCAGGTCCTGATAATACCTAAAATTTCATGTTTTCCACAACAAACGATTGTAACACTGGTAACTTTCGATAAATTTGAAAAATAATTTTTACATCAAAATATAAGTAAACCTTTTTAACTTTATTTCGCCTAACTTTTTTATCATTTTGAATCGTCAATATTGTTTCAAATCGATGAAAGATGTGAATCTATTTAAATGACTATCAGTAATGCATAATTATAAAAAAACAATCAGTCTCATTTCAGAAATTCAAATTTAGAGGGTAATAATTAGGTAAATGCAGAGAAGTCTTTTATTGTTTAGTGAGGGTTTCACTTCAGCACTTAACTATTGTTAATTCCGAAATAGATCTGGAGATAAAAAACAAAAACAAAATGTTTGAGCCTTCGAGTTTTCTCATAAATGATTTGATTGCTGTTTTTAAGAAATAAACTTTGTACTTTCAGTTTTTACTCCTAGAATAAAGTGTGTGCTTGAATAAATGAAAACAAAAAGACAAATTCTCACTGAAATTTGCTTCGGTTGCAATTTCGACTGCTTGTCATTTGCCTTATCAATTCATTGTTAGTTTGCTAAGTTTTGCTATAAAAAAGAATCTGAAAGATAAGAAATTCTTATTCTCGCTGGCATTATTATTATTTTGTCAATTAATTAATTTAAATGAAGGCAAATCCTTAATTTGAAATTTTGTTTTTAAGAAATATATTGCATTAATAACAAATTGTGATGTCAACAATTCTTCATCGATATTCAGTCTTAATTTGGTTTCTCTTAGAGTCTATAATATTTTGTTACGCTTAGACTATTGCATTCGTAGAAAGAATCTATTCGATAAGTTGTTAAAGTTAAAACATTCCATTTTTAGCGTAAAAATTTTCACGTATATATTTAATTGTCATACAAAATGAGCATCTGTGTTACTCATACCCTTACCTCCAGATTAATTTAAGAGCTAAATCTTTTTTGCCAAATAAAAATCTATTTTTTAAAGAGATTAAGCTATATATTAGTTCCTATAAAAATTTTTATCTGTATTTGTTTTGTCAGTTATTGTTATAAACCACTAACAAATTTGAAAATAAAGAATAATGAATTGAATTAAATTCTACTACACTTTAAACTCAAATACTTTGCCCAAAAATTTTCCAATAATATATAGCTCCAAATTTCTTTATCGAAAATATGATATATTTAAATGTCCAAACTTCACAACCTGTAAGTCTTCAATCCTTTTTAAGTTCTTATAAAAAGTTCAAATGTAATCAAATGGCAAAATTTATTTCGGAATATACTTCTTAAATTAATTAAAATGAATAGAGATTTGAATAATTTGCAAAAATTCAAGCACTTAAAGTGTAAATTAAACTTAATTTTAAGTCAATTCCGAAATTTGTTTTTAATTATTTATTATCATAATTTTTGATAATAAAACATCACGGGAATTACACGTTACCTTGCTGCAAGCATTTATCAAAAAGAGTGGAGATCAAAGTAGGTATTCCTCACGCTAGAGCCCTTTATTTTTGCTCTCTTCAGCAGTATTGATTTGTTTGTTTACTATTGAATTATTACATCTGATCAGTTGAAGATCACACGCAAAATAGCCCGAAGAAAGAATTTATGCTCTTTTCATTCACAAATCATTAATATTTTTGCTTATATATAAACATTAGTTATATAAAAATATATATCTATAAATATATGTATGTATATATTAAATTTGAATATTATTGAGTATTAAAATAGTAATTACAATTAAGTATACAAAATAATTGCTAAAATGATATCAATCCAAAGCACAATTAGAACAGTGAATATTCTTCAAGTTAATTAAGAATAATTACTGTTCTGATTGTATTTTTATTTTTACTTAATTGTCTATTTTTTGTCGATTTTTGCAAGTTTGCACTCAATTCTTTGCTGACTTTTCAAAATTTTGATGAAATTGCAATCATTTTTAAATTTACTATCGCAAATTCGGCGTTCACTTAACAGATCAAATAGACACTTGGTCAAGTATTTGGCTCGATGACGTTTTTATTCAATAAATTGACTAATCAATCAATCGATTACTTTTCAAACTAACAATTAAACTTTTTTGATAATTAAGCAGTTCAAAGTTTGCCAACAAATTTCAGAATAACAAACTTATCAGAATCAAGATATTTAACAACTATGAGTACTTTGATTTGCTTAAAATGATTTGAGCAAGCTCAATTTCCTATAATTTTTTCTGTTGCTGCGTTACTTCATTCATTACTTGACTAATTAATTATTTATCATATTCATATTTTTTCTCTTCTTAAAAGCCTTAAAATGATTTATCACTCTCTGCAAGAAAATGTACACACATATTGCGAGAAAATTGTACCTACTCTCGAAAGTATATATCTATCTGCCTGAGTTCATATGACTCCAGTATGATATTTTGCAAAATGTGAAGTTTGACTCGACTAAAGTTCAAAAACAACTATACGCAACCAAAAATAGCGTCAATTTGAAGTTTAAGTTTAGCAAGCTATTCATTTGACTGATAAAACCTAATTTATTTATGTAGCGTTCTTTTTACAATTTTACCTCTTTCAAATGTCTCGATTCAAACATAGTTAGTTGATTAGTCATTTTTTGTGAAGAAGAAATCCTAGACTGATTAACTCAGCTAATCTTTCATATTTCCAATGTGCGCGATGCTCTTTAGGGACATTATTCATGCAACTTATAAACTTAACTTTTATAAAACACAAATGAGCATTGTTATTTAACTACGTGAACCCATTCAAGGATATTAAATTGTTCTCGTATTTTTAGCAAATAATTAAAGTTGTTTTCGCAATTTATTTAAGGAAATGAAAAAATTTCCAGCATTGCAGCACTGTAAGTACTCTTCGTTATTAACTTTCAATATGAAAAAATATTCAGCGGTCAAAATTTCAACTAATTGTGCATCAAAAATTGAAACTAGTCGTTATAAACCTTCCTCAACAGCTAACTAATTAGTTACTATCATATTTATTAGTTGTAGATGATATCATATTCATGTAATACAATCGCCTTTTTTTCGTCAGTGATAGAAACGATAGAAACGTTTATGCTGTCTATTTTTATAATATTTAAAATAAAAAAGATAGATTTTGAGCAACCGCTTGAATTTGTGTGTGTATTTATATCCTTGTACATCTATTAGATTGTTTCTGTCATTTAAAAAAATAAAAATGAGATATGTAATACAAAAACGTACTATTACACGTCTCCAGAGAATGATGGAATCGATAGAATGACAGAATCGGATTGCTTCTCTGAGAATGTATTCTCTTCTGAAAGCTGTGGTTTATACACCGATGTCGCGAGGCATAGAGATTCAACAATCAAAAATGAATATTTACTAGATAGTGCGGCAAGCTTGGAATTACTATCAAAGTACTCTGTAAAATTAGTCATATTTTTTGTTTTTTGAAAATCATATGACAATAATTTATATATCATTTCAAATACACTTTTCACTTTGGACGGAATTCAAATTTTGAATATGAACGGAGAGATAAAATGGGTGCCTATTTCTCATTTTGCAAGTCAAAGTTTGATATTTTTAATAATGGATAAGATTTTAAAAATATTGATAATTAGATCCTTGGATTGTGAAGTATTTGATTCGCATAAAAGTGTGAGATCAGTATCCCTCAATTCTGCTCTGAAAAATCCCAATCGCCGAAGGGATAAGAAAGCGGTACATTTTGCAGACTCCCTTGGTTTGGAGTTAGTAAATGTATATCCGATATATTCATCCACGTACGATTCATTAGAAGATTTATTCAGTTCATCGTCACCTCTATACTTCACTAGGTGCTACACATCTACTGCTTTTATCATTATCATTGATAAAACTTTGATAACTAAGTTTGCAATTCATGTAGAAAAATTTAAAGTTTAGATATTACTTTCTCTGAAATTTCTTTCTTGAGAAAGGCTTTTTAGACTTATTCAAACAAGCTACTGATTCATATTTTTAAGCTTTATTATAAAGTTTGTTTTGCAGAAAATTATCAAAAAGTAAATGAATAAAAAAATATGAAATTGCAAATTGAAACGATTAAATTCTCAAATTTGAGAAGAAATTACATTTTTCAAAACTTTCAGATTCCATGATCATTATAATCATGGTGAGTTGAAACGTGAAGTAGACTGCCACTATCTTATACGCAACAAAAATAGTTTCATATCACAAATGAATAGCATACGACCAGTTTATTTGCATATAAATTTCTCAACGTTAGACAGTTCTGGCTGGAGTACAGATGACAAAACTGATGCAAGACGGATGAATAAAGCTAGAATCAACGGTGTGTGCTTAAAATCAGTAAATATTATTGGTACGAGTTTAACTGGAATCATCTACGTGGCCAACTTCAATTACAAAAAAGAGGTGATTTTTCCGCCATTAAAATAGTTTTCATTACCTTTTATAAAGAATTTTTTGCTCCTTTCTAACTTTCTAATTTGGATAGAAAATTGATGCTATCACAAATTTAATAGTTTCACGTTAAAACCTACAGTGGCAATTTAAATTTATAACGTTTTGATAATGCCAGAAAGTTAAAAAGCTTATTAAATGCGCGGCAATAATCCTTGTAACAATTCATCTCATTAAGTGTGTCAGCTATCCTTGCAAATGGATAACAAATTTAGAAAAATATTAGAATACTAAAATGATAGAATGATAAAATTTGGTTACAAAAAATACTAAGTCAAGATAAGGTAAACTAGAATTTATTCAGTCTCACAGAAAGAAAAATTTCATATTGACTACTTGAACTGGGATTTTTTCTTCTTTGTCAACTACAACTTTTTCACGTAGTACGTAACAAACTATTCAAAACTTCTACTAAAATCAACATGAAACAGCAAATAAGTAATACATACTTAAGGTACGCGTTCGTTATACCTTGGACAACTGGCGAACTTACTCAGATCTACCAGCTTGGTACATTAGCTGTTCGCAGCAAAAAGAATTAGATCTGTTTTCATTTTCGCTTTTTTTACCACAAAGTATTCCAGTTGGAGCACAGTGCGAATTTTGCATTAGGTTAAATTTACTACTCTTTATAAAAATTATTATCTATTTTTATAATTTACGAGTATTTTGATTTTCGTGAAAACTTTACCTATTCACAACCTTGTAATATTAGTGCAGACTAACTGAAATAGAAAATAAATGGATTTAAGTAAACACACTACACTACTATAAAAAAGCAACTAGCTTCTTGCCAATTGCAGGTATTTATGTAATGGCAACGAATATTGGGATAATAACGATTATGCCAATTACAAGGTAGAATGTAAATCTTTAACTGGTGATAACGGTAATTTTAGTATGTGAAAATGATTTTAACAAAATGGAATGAATTATAGAAAAGGTTCTACTGTGAAATCAAGTCGGTAAGAAAACCAAACAGAGACTGAGATACTCAAAAAAAGAAAATCACGTGTAGCTGCAGACACTCAGATCTAAATTTCTCAAATTTGCATACCACTGTTTTTGTTTGGAGGATCTAAAATGGATTTATTATCAAGCTGATATTTGAAGTTCAAAATGACTCAGAGCGTCTTTATATTTCGTCTATGTTGGAAATAACTTTTAAACTGACTTTGATGAGAGGAAATTTTTAGCAACTTCGAAAAAACCAAAATTGATAACAGAATTCTTCATATCATATACGAAGCAATTCCCAATAAACTAACTGCAACTCCAATCTACTATTTTTATTTAAAGTTATACTACGCTTCTCAATATCATATTATAGTGTCAAATTCGAACTTAAATTTAGTTAAAACTCATTCTTCCATCTTCGTAAACTCATGCTGAATCATACAGCTTTAACGATTAAAAAACGATTTACCAAGCTATGAATCTAAATCTGGAAATAGTAAAGTAAGAGGAAGTAATCATGACGTAATGACTTTTGTTCCTGATTAGTTTAAGGATGATTATATCAAGTTTGGATTAATTTCAAAGATAGTTAGCAGTTATAATATATAAAAATATAATACCACTACTTATATGAGTTCAAGGTAATTTAATCATAAAAACAAATCAGTTATAGACTGCTTTCAATCAACTAAATGTGACCATAACCTCAAGTGAAAGTATTTGGCTCCACGCTTAAATGGAAGTAAAATTTAGTAACGCGGTAGAATTCATACCAACAACAAAATTGAACGAAAACTCTCAATTTCACTATTAGTTCCCAAGTTAAACCAATTCATTTCGTTTTCCTAATTACATTCTTAACATAATTTGACTCATTTCCAACTGTTTCATTTTCGATTTACATAGAATCTACCAAATATCAACAAAGTAAGTGTGAAATAAATGAAACTTGAGAAAACAAAGTATTTTATTCGCAACATCAGAAATCAGATCAAAGAAAGCACTATTAGAGAATTTTATTTCAGAAAATAACTCAAATATAAAATTCTACAAGAAATACAAGCAAATCACGCTAGCAACTAGCAACAAACAAAGTATGACCGATTAAAGGCAATAATGAAGCAAAATCTTCCAGCTCAAAATAGCAGTATCATTCACTCTTCACGGATAGTAGAAATACCAGTTTTCTGTTCATAGATTTCACGATCTGTTGGGCTAATGATACCCCATTTTACAGCTGCATCTAATGCTCTACGAGCTTCTTTTTGAGCCGATGTCCGTTCTTTATCATTTAGTTTTGTTATAGCAACCAAAAGACGGAAGATCTCAGTCTATAAAGACAAGGAAAAAACTCGACCTTTTTACAAAGAAAAAACTGGGAATATTAAAATTATTTCTCAAGACTGAAAAGGAAACCGAATTAGAGTGATTATAACACAATCAATCTGACCCTAAATATTTTTATGGTCTTCGATTTCACAAATTTTGATCAAAAGGTTGGAACACCGAAATTTTCAAAGAGAATAAATAAATAAATAATTCAACGCTGTGGTTATATTGCAAAAAAAATAAATAAACGATTGAATTCTACTAAACATCTTAATTAAAAGGACAAAAACGTATGGCAATACAAGAAGCAATAATACTTACAGCAATAATTTCACTTGCAACCTTTTCTGATGACTGCACCATATTAGCAATTGCTATCAAACCGCGGCGTTGGATTTCAACATTCTCAGATACGCAAATATCAGCCAGAACTTCAGGCCAACTTTTCATCTCATCAATAATTCGCTTGCATGCTTCTGCATTCTCTGTTAAAATCGCAAAACCAGCGGAAGAAGCAAGTGCCAAACGTTCATCTTTTTCCGCGCTGTATAATACCCATAGTTTCAATCTATCTGTGCCAGGCTAAATGCAATTTATTGATCTACTAGAACGCTCTAGTTCTTCATGAAATAAGAACAAATTTGTAGAAAAAGTAAATTACAAAGTAAACTTCTAAATACGCCAAATATTGTTACAACAGTTTTTATGCTGCAAGATTATCAAATACAAAAGTAAGAACATATTGTTCATGAAAAAATTCATATTTAGATGACAAAACTCAAGCTCAGAATGCATTAAATTCCAGCTACTAAAGCAAAATGGCAAAAACTAACTTTGACGACCTCATTGAAAAAATCTTCACAAAATAACAAATTAAGAAATAGTTCGGCAGCAGCAGCGCGAAGTTGAGCATGATCGGTCATGAACCAATATTCTTCTGCTTTTGGTATGACCCTTTCTTTAATCATTCGACGACGAACAGAATCATTCATGCTTGCCTGATAAAAGCAAATGTAAAGCGATAAAATACAAAAAAAGCTACAAGCACATTATTCAGTCTATGAGATGATAAGCCTTTTATCAGACGTAATCATACAGAATCTCGATACAAAAATGCATTCAAATAGTGCTCTAGAGAACTACAGATATAATCGTAGTTGGTAAACTCAAACTACTGAAAGATTTAAGTATTTTCATTAATATGAAACTAAAATGAGCATTCTCTATCACATATTATTTGATATTGGTATTATGACTTACTGCAAAGTGAAGAAAGAAAAAAGTCAAGTTCTAACATAATAAGTAGAAATGGTAATATCGTAATTATCAGAACGCTAACTCTAGAACAATCAAAGCATAATTATACCAAGTTGGTAAGTGTTAATAACGCATCGTAGTTTGGTCTTCCTTCAATATCTGGATGAAGAAGTTCAACTAATGGACGGATTACTTCATAAGGTCGCTGACCAGGAAATGCTATTGACGGATCTGCCTAAAATTAAAAAAATACTGAACTAAAACAAACCGAAAGATGTAGTACGTAAATTCAGTTAACAAATAATAAAAACAATAAAGATGAATTGTGAAGCAAAAAACTGACCAGCGATCCAAGTCTTGCTATCGCATGTGCAGCTTTAATTTTACCCTCTGGTGTTGCTTCCTTCGTCAAAGTCAAACAAAGCTGAAATCAGAATAAGATGTTATTGCTGTTCACACATAACCAGTTTGTATACACTTCTAGATCGAATATATTTAGACATTATTACTAAATATATGTATTACGACTTACTAGAAAGCGAATAAGGAAAACAAGATTGTAATCCAAAAAGCATTTCTGTTCGCAAGCATAAACAAGATTATAGTTTGTAGATTACCTTGACACCGCCTTCACTCAAAATTTGTCCTCGTAAATCAGCAAATTCCGTAAAGGCCAACAAAGCACGAGCTAACAACTCCAGTGCATTCTTGCTTTCTGTTTTTGATATCGCTACACATGCCGCCGTGGCACCATCACTGACTAATAAGCGAATTCGTTTCTCCACACAATCATCAGTATCTTTGGGATGCGTTTCTGGCACATGATGCTTAGCAAACTGCAATTTCCATAAATTCTTTTTGTCATGAAAATAATTTCAAGCAAAGTTTTATACTTTACATAACTTCATCAGATAAAAAATAATGACTTATGGAGTTTATAAATAAATAAAAGAACCACAGAGTAGGTAATCACTGAAAGGTAGCATGCTGTCAAAAAACTAAATAATGAATACGAAATGTAAGCATAACCATCAGTTACTTTTGAAATTAAACTACAATTAGGAAGAAGCGCGATTTTCAAATATTAAACTGGGTTGTATATGAAACCATGAGCTGTATTAATAGTTTTTAAATGAACATGGTCATGTTTTTGTCTCTGCTCAATCTTATTTCCGTAAACCTACTTTTTACCTGTGCTAACCTGACAAGGTCTTCGTCAATTTTTGGCTTCTCATAAGAGTTCGTCATATTCACATAAATACTAGCCAAAGAATACACACAAAGCGAACCAGCATTCTAAACAAACAACAAAGAAAATATCAAATGTACGAAACTAAAAGAGATCGATCATATTAAAATAAAAGATTATCAGTTCAGACTTAATAAAAAAAAAATGAAATAATAATTGTACTAAATTTTAACTGAAAATATTTCAAATAAACACAATATTTTAGAGTAACTTCATTTTGCACCTTAGCCAAACAAAGCAAAGCTTGAAGGAGCAAAGGATCTTCAGCGATCCATTCCTTCACATCAGCATCCAACGTTAAATATGATAGCCCTTCACATGCAAATCTACAAAATGAAATAAAGGACGACGAATTTTTCAACTTCAACTAATATTTCATCAATTATTTATCAAAACGATGTTTCAGAACTAAATTTACAAACATTACCAACTACTGATAAATGACCTCTTTTCTAAGACAAAGGCTTTCTTACCTCCTTATATCGATAGAATAGCGATCCACATCCAACAAAAACTTTTTGCACGTTTGAGCAAGTTTTAGCGTGCTACCTTCTTGCATAGTTTGGCGAGCTACATCATCTCCACCAGCTGAGGCACATTTGCATAAACCCATTAAAGCTCTCACTTTTACTGCATGATCTTCCGAATCATAGAGCTTTTTTAATACAGATATGCCAAACTAGAACATAACACTGTCATAGACAGTATAGCGGTTTTAGTACAAGAAACTAACCGTGATAGAATAAATACAAAGGAAGATTCAACTGCGATTTTAACCTTACTATGATGACTGAAAAAAATATATTATAGAAGCTTATAAAGTTTTAAACACAAATTTTTGAGAATTGATCGAGTTCAAACAAACTTTTAAAATCGTGGTAGCTCGTTCATGCTTACTAACAGCATGAACAATTAGCTCAGCAGCAACGCTTTGTTGTAAAAAATCATCACTTCCTGCCATTTCGAGCATCATGGCTGTGATTTGATCATTCGTTACTAAATTTATGCCAATATCAACTGCACCCTAAAAAGTGAATATATATAATCAGTCAATAACAAGAGGAAACACAATATAGACTACATATTAGATACATAACAGAAGTAGTAGTACAAACGACAAAATATTTACCTGTAATAAAGTTATTAACATACATGCTAATTTCACTTTCACTTCAGGCTTCGTAATTTCATTCATTAAATTACTGAAAATACACATTTTCAAACAACTCAAAATCTTACTACCATATTAGTTCAAAATAATTTAGTGAAATCAGCCATTCATATAGATCACAAATATAATTATTACTTGAATCAAATGAATTACGAAAGCCTAATATTTTTTGTTATCAAAAAACTTCAAAACATACTTTGAAAATTTATCTACTTTTTCTTTGAAAATTTGCCGCCGTGTATCAAATACCATGTCATCGTAAAGTCGTGCTAAGCAAACTGCCAAGTACTCTCGAGTTTCAGAAGTAACAGGATATTCACACCGTTCCGGCAACTGAGTTGAAACATGAAGCAACTTGAGGAGACCTAATATGTTTATGAATAAATTTGAAACCTTAGAAAGGATATTATGCCTAAATTACTGTTTCATTTAAATATCGTCTGAAATGTCTCGAAATACATAAGCGCACCACAAAAATACCTAAGAACGAGATAACCTTTAGTATGAATAAGGCGTTAAATAAACTAATTTCAAAAAATATGTCTCATTCATCTAATTTTGAAGTTTTATTACCTCTGTCCTCGACAAATCTCCAACTCCAGCCTCGTGGCAATCCACCATCCATGTGCATCAGGTTTTTCAAAAGTAAATCTATAGCTATGTTCCGTACTGCTGCACTTACATTTACATCGGTTAATAATTCTTCCAACTCCAAAATTAATCGAATAATATGTACTTTATTACCTGCAAAAAAAAAACGGTTCCTTTATTATATTTTTATGCACCACCTTTTTAATGAATAAAACCTATTATGCATAAATAACCGCTTTAATCAAACGACCAGTGGATAATTTTTATCCCAAACAGTATAAACACAGCTAACTTTCACATGCTTCTGGATCCGGTTTTTTTTCCTTTGCGCGATCCATGTTAGCTAAGGCGTTAAATAAACGTTGAATTACTGCTCCACATGTATCAACATAAAGTGGAAAAACTTGTTTTTCCATCAGCCGACATATCTGTCGCATTCCCATATTTTCCACGAAATACATGGCCTTCATTAAAAAAAACAATTAAAAATAAAATTAGGACTTAAGAGGGCGTACATAAGTGCCCTCAAAGTCTTCAAAATATCGGAAAAAACTGACTTTATTTTTAATTTTTCCATTTAAACCTGAAAAACAAATTCCTGATGAAGTTCGCAATAAACAATAAAATACCCGCTTGCTGTTTTTTGCAAGTTCATCAAGAATTCTGATTGCTGTCAGTGCTACATCTTCATTTATCGAATTGTCATCAATTACTTTTAATAACGTTTTTATAATTTCACCATTATTCCATACACGTGATGCACCTGTTTCAGATTCTCGAGATAACACCAATAAATTGTTCATTGCCTGTATAAGCACATAACAAATAAGACTTCTTCAGTAGCTTCTTAGAAAGTAAATTTTGCTTCAACTGTTTCATTTAAATTTGAAATCTCAGCATACAGTAATTCAACAAAACAACAAATGCACTTTATTAAACGAATTATAAAAAATGAATATTAATCTCGTCACTGTTGTGAATACAAACACCTTACAGTAGTTCTCTGTTCCGAGTTATCTTCACCAAATGCAATTTGGTTCATAACGTTTACACGATTATCCATACTCATCGCTGCTTCTTTCTTCTCTACATTTAATTTCATCATTCTTTGCAACAATTCGATGATGGCACTTAGAATAATGCGTTTAAATTAGTTTTAAGTTTTCAAGTAAAAAAATCACACACTATTTACATAATAAGTTTTTTTCTATACTCTTTAATTCTCGAAAGTTATGTAAAATATGCAAAATATATACCAATTTTTCGGTTCCATTCTTAGTGCTTCTCGCGCATCCCTTATCGCATCGCTATAATTTTCCAATTTTTCACGAGCCAAAGCTCGTCGGTAAAGCGCTTTTGTATCAGCACCATCAAGCTCCAATGCTGTAACATTTATTTATTTACAAAACTTCAAAGAAATTATTTTTTGAAGACCGAATAGTTTAAACAATCTGCCATGCAAAATGCAGCACTAGAAGCAACCATAGTTTCTTGTGGGCAACTGCATGCAAAATGAAACGTAATTTTTAAATGCAACCATACAAAAACATTGTGCAGAATAAATCTAGCCCAACTAAAAAGTCGACTCGTGTAGGAAATAAAATCATGCAAATTCTTCAAGTACGAAATATTTTCAAATCCGAACGTAATAAATAAGCATAATCATTGTAAGCGCACTGCAGTCACCTCGAGTAGTATCCATTTCACATCCTTCGAAATCGTCCATTTTCAATCGTACCATTCCTCGATTTCGATATATCGCAGCTGTCAGCTTCCTCTCCGTGCTTAATTCTAATGCTAATGTATACGCTTCAATTGCACCTTTCAAATCACCATCTTTGAAAGCAGTATTTCCGATATCCTTTAAATCTTCTGCATCAAATACGTCCCCTGTTTCCATAACTGCTGATTTCTTCCAATCTAATAAAATCAATTGTTCAAATTCCAAAATATTTTCATGTACAAAGATACCGAACGAAAAATCCAGAAAAATCTGCAAGGAATCATGTGGACAATTTCTTAGCAAAAATTTACAAAGGATCTACGGGAAAGTTATATTACTAATATTATAAATGATTCGAAAATTTCACATATTTGTTTCTGCACACGTAGAAGTTTCCAAATATGACGCACATATATCTAAGAACTGATATCTAGATAAGTGCAGATAAGAGAGTCCCTGAATTTTTTGGATCAGTTTAGATAAAATAAGTGTGCGAATATCATATAGGTAAGAAGTAAGGCGATTACTTCATCACGATATTATTATTTTAATTATGCTATTATAAAAATAAAACTGACTCAAAACTATTAGGTCCAGAAATGACGGGTACTCTAAGTTTACCCGCGATCAATGGAAATATGAAAATACACCAATTTCCATGAAATATATTTGCATTTACTCCAGCTCTAAATACAAAATTATTGCAGAATGAATTTCTTTATTCAATTCCTTGATCAATTATTTTCATTCATTCACAGGAAAACAATACACGATACAGCATTATCATCACAAAAACTTATCATCACAAAAAAGCATTGAAAGTAAAAAACTATAACATGTCAAATTTAAATATTATAATTATAGAAATCACTTAATTATTGACAATAATGCATGTTGGGTAAGACAAGAACATCAAGTTATTGGAAAGAAAAACAAAAATTTTGACAGTGACAGGCACAACGACAATGGGTTGTTGTACTTTACAAAAATATCAAATCAGCTTATTATGAACATTTGAAAAAAACCAGCCAGAAATGATTTCTTCTCGCTAGACTAACTTTATCCTTTTATCAAATAAGCTTAGAAACCTTTGCAATAATACCTACCTAATCATTATCCATCATCTTCAAAATCTAGAGGAATTAAGGTGTTAGCCACAGTCGAGAAGAACAATGAACAAGCTTTATGAACACCGAGTCTCTTCACAGCAAACTTTCAAAGCAATGGCGATTATTTTTCTATTTTTAGAAATAACAATCCATAATAATGCAACTAATCATTTATATGTAAACTACAAATGACTTTGAAGACAAGATTAGGCAGTGTGCAAAAATAATTACACAAAAACAGCTGTCAAAAACCACAGCAATAAAAACTACGTTTCTTGCATTTTTCAATTGAAATTTTTTCTTAATGCACCAAAAAACTTGCACTGACACAATAATAACTAATATTTCTTTGAATTTTAGGCTACATTCTCACTAAAAATTAGTTTTGAATTTTTTTAATATCATGTTAATTTCTGTCCTTTTTTCATTTCATTACAACTAGATTAACGAAATAAATCTACCACTAATTTGAATCACACAATTAATAATCACAGTCGAGCTTCTTAAATTTTCTTTAATTTCATGACTAGCAGTGAATCACTACCACTTACTATACGTTATATCTTTTGACTGAAGACTAAATCATTACACATAAGATATTATTTGCTCAACTTCCACAAACTTATGCAAGCTCACCAAGTATTCCTAAACAAATTTCTTTTTCGTTCTCACATGACATCTTTTACATATATTATACCACGGAAAAGCATTTACCTTGTCTACCCATAATCATTTAAAAACAATATTACAACGCTGACATACATCACTGCATCACAAACAAAACTCTTATATACAAATTCCAAAAAAGCTAGTAAATAAATAACAAAGAAATGAGATTTAATTGCATCTGCATGCTGAGCTTTAAGATCGCACTTTTTTCGCAATCCTTCAACACAATTTACGTTATTAGTCAACAGATGAACAGAACTAACTGCCTTATCGCTTATGCCAATTTTAGAAATATGCTTACAATAACTTACAATCCATCCATTTTATCTTAGTATCGTTCCTGAGACTTTTATGGTTGAAATTCATACAAAGGAACAAAGTTGCATGAATAGGCACATTGATAGCATCAAAATAATAAACGGACTGCAATGATATGAGAGGATTCTGAAATTAATTTCGAAATAATTGTATTGAACCTCATGTCAAACAAAATACTCAAACGCTAAAGACGGGCCAGGATATCTGCGAATCCAAATCATGCAAGCTTGAGCAATTAACTATATCTTGACCCCTGCAGTGCCAACCTATTAATTTGAATACTTTCGGAAGTTGCACCAACAACTCGTTTATTCTGCCAATATGCCACATCGAACAATCTTTGACAAATTTCAAGCAAAAGTAGCAAATTTAAAGATACTAGTAGCACAGAAAATAACGTATCGAAATCGAATGAGGTACACGTGGATTGTGACTAATTAAGTGCTTCAGTGAAATTTTAGATAAAACTAATAAACAATAGTGAAGCATTCTTTGGATGCTTTTTCCCATTTGGTCTGATAAATCATTGCGGATTTCAGATTCAATTTTCCACTATATTAAAATTGTTCACCTACAATCTACCAGATGGATGTTAACTGAGAACATTTTACCGAGAAACAAGCATCAAAATAGTGCGGAAAAATTATCACATCTAACTTTTTGATCTTCCAAGTATAGAGAAATGCTTCAAAAGGATATTTTGAATGAACCCGATAAAAACAGAAAAAATAATTGGCAAGGTTTCGATAAGATCTTTAGAAACAAAAAACAATAATAAAAAAACAAACTATAGAATCAGAAATAAAATCTGTTACTTAATTTTTCGAAAGCATAACTTTTTTACTTTTAAGGGATAAAATGATAAAAAGTAACATCGCCACTCATAACAATGAATAAAAAAACCTTCTAACAATTAATTAAGCGTAAAACTCCTTGGTCGGTGCCTTTTGATACGCATAGGAATAATTTGGAGGTTGTTTTGGTTCATCCAATGCATAACTACCTTCGTCTTTCTTCCGCATTCGATAAACAACAAACATCACTAGTAGAATTGCAGCTAAGATACCAACAACTATGCCACCAATCACTGCTAAAATGAATCATTTTTAAGCTACTTCGCAGATTTCATTCGAAAATTATAAATGATAATAATAATTTATTGAAAGGCTTAGCATGCCAATATAGATAAGCAGGTTTCTTAGAAGCATCATATCTAGATAAGCAGTTGTACTGAAAAACAATGATATATATAGAGGAGAAGAAAATACAATGAACAATTCGCCTTTTTTCGTCTTGTGCATTTAAGCAAATCACTTAATATGAAGTACCAAAAAGTAGAGTTCCGACCGATCAAGGAATGCATGGAGAGATGAATCAAGAAAAGTCAGTCAGCAGTACCGAGCTCTGCGATGATAACGTAGCGATACTAGAAGGAATATAAACACGTAAGTACTCAAGGGTAAGAATAGGGGAAGACAGAACTAGTGCACTATCCGTGAAAGGTCCAAACAGAATTTTAGTGAGAATTGAGCGATTAGCCAAAACTGCAATAAATAGCAAGTACTTTATCAAAGCAGTAAATGAATAAGCCATAATTTCATTAAACTATTATACAAAGGTGCTCAAACCGGGACCGATAGACTTCAGAGCTACAGACAACGATATCAGACAGTTACTAATCAAATACGACAGACAAAATCAACTGGCGCCAAGAGACGAGCTACGACTTAGGCTTCATAATGCTGAATGCAGTCGAGACCAAGAAAAACCGAAAGAATAATTTACTGGTTAATATATTCGAAAATGCAGGACAAAAATAATTCTATATGTAATGATGACTTGCGATGGAATATTAACGAACTTTCATAAAGGCTACGCGAAGGAGATCAGTATATCTGATCACGTCGAGGAGTATGTCCAAACAATAGTGCTCAAGAAGATTCTAAAAAGTATCTCATTCGATGATCACTATGGATTCCAAGAGTATGAAGCAACGGAGATCAGCACAAGAAATCTGAGTGCGGGCCAAATACAACCAGAATAAAGGTATATGATCCAGCGCCGGAATTAATAGAGCGAAAAAAAATAGACTGATTAACAATAATAGTTATTATCATATCTGACATTTGAAAAGTAAGAACAAAAACATCCCAAATGTAGTAGCTTCGTAATAAACGAATGCGGTGTCTCAGTAGGAAATGGCAGACGATTCAGTAGAAATAATTCGTTAATAATTCTTGTACCCATGCAAATGTCATAAAGTAACAATAAGTGCTCATGAAACATTCTCAAACAATCTTCAGTAGCATAAACAATTGATGCATGAGTTTCTTGAACCTAACAACCAACACAGAAACCACATATTTTGCGAAAAAAACTGCTTTCGATTGCTGATTATCCAGTATAGTACAATGATAACTGAATTCCTGATCGTGAACAGTAAATTTCCTTTCTATTAGTATGCTTTCTGACAGCATTTTCCATCTATTATTTCTCTCTTTCAACTCATTGCTTTCCACTGTGTCTAATCGCTTTAATCTTAACAAAAATGTTACCGACCACTGCATTGACTCATAGCAAACAATGTCCACAATTGTTACCACACATCAGTGAAACAGCCTGACATTTTTTGCTCTCCAGCAATTAATTATCCCAGAAATGTAATCAATAAATAATGCTCCGATAGAAAAACTGAAAAGTTTATAGTCACCGGTTACCTCTCTCCCATATCTACTCAGAAGATAAAGAATTGATAACAGTGGCAATGCACATGCATTACTGCCGACTATTACATAGATTAGTCGAACATCTATTCAATCGAATCTACATTTTTCTTGCTCTTATTATTAAGACAATCATGTATGTATTTTGCGATAAGTTATGTCAGAAATCAATTCTGCTAATCCATTTTGCATGAATTTATACTGAGCACTATTTGATGTCAAATGAGGAACTCCGAGACAATCTGCAAATCTGCCTTTGTTATACTGACAGGAATGTGCACTGCGCTGACATAACATTGCGTGACATCACGAAGGACAAATAAGTGTGTCGAGTATTTGATATTCTGAGCAGAGGTTGTAGAGTGAAATGAGAAGGAATAGTAATAGAGAAGTAGACGGTTTTCTTTTGACCTAATAATTAATCACAAAAAGTCCCCTAACGCCTTTTTTCAACAGTGAGCAATCACTCAGTCTACATCATTAATCGATAACAGATAAGATAATATAAGGTAGAAAGTGGTGATTGATGGGATGCATGCACGATTAAGATGAGTAACAGTGATAAGAAATGAAATGGGACCAAAACACAATTATAAATGCTTATCCATCCAATGGCGTTTATTAAATAAAATGATAGCGTTTGACCAGCAATTAAGAGAGCATTAGGGATGAGAGAGTCATTCTTTCTGCATGTCCAGTCTGATGAGAAAGAAAGCAAGATTTCAGTGACCTTTACTATTTCTCTTCATTCCTCTATCCTCTATCCTCTATCCTCTACCCATCTCTCTTCGCAAGTTCAAAAGTTAATCGCATTAGATTAATCATTACGCAGTACACTCTCCAATTCCAGTCCTCATCACTTTGCAATCAACCAAACAAGTGCACTCACTGCACTGCACACAACAACTTTTCTGAATTCCACACAGCTGCATGCACATCATTGTTACTTACTTCATTCAATAAACACTGACAACGACACTTCCACACTACACCACTCCAAACTGATAATCCTTATCTAAATTAAATAAATCTCACAACTACAAACGTATCCGTCTGAGCAGGCAGAAGCCACAACAACTTTCGTGAAAATTACTAATCATAATGACTGAGAGGGAGGGAGTACTTGAGTGCGACAAAAACATAAACCAGCAACATTTGTTATATTATTTCTAACTCGAAATTAAGATGTAAAACGAAAATGAGACATGCATTCTAGACGCAACAAACTTCTTTCAGCCCTGCTCTTTTCCTAATTAAAGTCATCGACATACCGGCTAGAACACCTGGCTTCAGCAATGAGCTCAATGGAATACTGTGTTTTTCTTCGAATATACTTGGTGGCGGGGTTTCTTCTGCTAGCCGTGTCGCAGGGATCACTGATGGCCTCCTCGACGTGATAGTCCATGTTTGTGTTGTTATACTTTTCATCGTCATCATAGGAGCCACCTCTTCAACAGCTACATCTTTCCCACCCATTCCACGGGCAATTTCGTGGACGTCAAACTGCAACACAACACAAACATCATTATATACCTATATTCTTCCATACAATTCTTTCTGAATTTTCCTGACTTCACACAACATGAAACTTAATTCTCAACAAACATTCTATCATTAAATAATATTCAAACATGAGAACTTAGCTGATATGCTTATAAGATTATCCAATCATCACTTACGGAAGGATATGGCGTAGTTGACTGAGTGGTGTTGAAGATATATATCGGAGTGGTGTTCACCACGGGTATACTACCAGAACCAGCAATCTCATCTGCAATAAATTTCGTAAAATTGTGCAAAAACTTGGTTAAATAGCATATTACAAATAATGCTTTCTTTTTTCCTTCATCAACAATTACTAAATCTCAGCGGTAGCATCAACATTTAATTTCTAAATCTTCAATTCTAAAAACTTCTATCTCTTTACATCTCTTCAAACCATACTGCCAACGAAATTGAATACAATAGTGATTTAGTTTCATAAATAATATTGTGCAATATGCATATGGCCACTATTAATCAACACTTGTATCGAAAATAGACAACGAATAAGGCCACAGTCTACCGATAGAATTAACTACAACTTTCTTACACCATTGATTCATTTTCGAACCATTTTCTTTACTAGCATTTTATTGAAACAATACGGATAAATGAATTTTTTGATATTACTACTCGCTAACTTATCTCATCTCTTCATAGTTCGACAGGGATGTCGGCTGTAATCAGTCACTAAATTTTGTTTCTATAAAGAAATGAATTACGAGCAAAACCTTAAATTTGATTGAAAACCTAGGTTCTCAAATTAAACAAAGGTAACACCATATAACATTGCTAAACTTCGTCAGAGTTCCAATAATTCTTTATAGTCACTGAAGGTGTGAAAAAAGGCAATGAAAAATTTCAGCTTCAATTTCTAGTTAGGAAAAAAGGAAGAATCTTAAGAGACTTCTTTCTAATTAAGAGCGCATCAAACTTTGTGCTTTTTCCAAATATTATTACAGTTTTGTACAAGAAGTTATGAAAAAGTAATACAAACCGATCTGAGTTCCAGAACCTTCCACAACATCTCCATCTTCATCATCTGGGCTGACACCAGATGAGTCCCATTCTATATCTGCTTCTGCAGCCCCAATTTTTCCCTTTTCTGACGACGATGGCAAAGCACCACTGCCTTCAAATTCCTGTAAAACTCTAATTAACTACATCGGTATCTCCGAAACTGAAATGAAATCCAAAACAAAGATGCCAATATATATCAATTACAGACTCATGTATATCAGTTACCATTTTCTATCATTTAGTAATCTAATTTTTCTGTATAAATTACGAAATGGAAAATTTTGAAATAAAAAAGCAAACTTACATCATGTTTAACAATGTCTGTAGCACTGGAAACTTCTCTTTTTTCATACACCTCCCCACTCAATACAAGGATCTGAAAAACTGAATATGAGCAAATAATTATAAAGCAAGTAACCTAAATTATTGAATTAGAGTATCATGCGCTGATAACTTTAAGTTCGTTGCGAACAAAAAACAAATTCTGCGAACTGAACTACTAGAATGAGGTCAGTATCGTACTTTTTTTCTTTTGAAAGATGAATTTGATGATCACATCGAATGGAAAAATTTATATTTGTAGAAATGGAGGACAACACATGCATAAAAGACTCTCATTCGTCTTAAATCACAAGTTGCTAATTTTTAATTCCAAACTAAGTTTTTCAATTAATAAATAGAATTTCCTAATATAACCTAGAACTCTGTGACGAAATTTTTGCAGTCCGTACTTTCAGCTGAAATTCTGGAAGTAATTTAAATGAGAATAATATCACAGATATTATAATTATCGACTTCCTGATAGTGACATTATTTTGGTAGAAGGATCGTAAAGTAACTTGGCTTTATCATTGCTTTTTCATAAGGCTAGCGAATGCAAATAACTAAAGCTGTTGAGCTGAGTAACTATAGTTTAAAACAAACAATTTTAGTACAACTTTCATGGTTTCTATTGCATTCGATCGAGAAACTGCTTAGATGCTCAAATTAGAGTAAACTGTTTACTTTTTAATTTTAAATTTCTTCATGATAATTATACTTTTTAATTTTAAATTTCTTCATGATAATTAAACAATTTTCAAATTTTTTCACATTCTATCCTTCCTTTCTATTAAAAGCAATAAATGCATAAATTTAAGGAAAAATCAAAAACATCGGTAACCTGAAACAGAATCGTACAATAACCAAAAAAGAATACGGAATGTAAGTCCATAACTTCAAAACAACTTTCCACACTTTATTATTAACCAGGTATCAGTTCAGTAATTGCCATATTCGTCAGTGAAGAAAAGAATCTGCAAAATACTTTATAAATATTACAAGCAGAAAGTTTGAGGAGCAGAAAAATGCGAGTAATATGTTTATCTAAAAGAGGATGTTATATCTAAGCCATAAACAACTTTCATTGAATGTCTCAAGTTCGCAAGCATAAAATAAACTGAAGTCTGCAAATGCATATATAGTTTCATGTGACAAGCTAAATAAAGTCAAGGACAAGTAAACGAGGCCTGAATCACGATAACGACATGATATTAGAAAGAGTTCCAGAGAGCAAATAACAATACTTTATACGAATAAATAATAATGCACACGCGTGATATTTAAATACCTCCTATGATTAAACCGAAACTTATCAACAATTGATCAAATGGTGTCAACCAACGAAGTTATACTCAAGTAATCCTATTCTTGAAAATAATAATGTTTTGCTGAAAGCTATCACATTTATAAGAAACACTCTTAAATTAAAGTATCACACTTTAACTAACAATACATCTTTTATATTCCACAGAAAAACTATGCTTGATAATATATTTATTAACTTCGCATCTTCTACTAATTGCGCTTATATACCTTATATTCTAAACTATGCGGTCGAAAATTGAACTCCGAAATTTGCACATCCAATTTCCACCTATCAAAACGATGTTTTCCAAACAAGAAAGAAAAAAAAGTTTTAAGTTCAACTCTGCATCTATTCTTAAAATTACTTAGTACTTTATTATTATCTTCTGTACGTAGAACAAATACAAAAACGAATGCGTAACATCTTAGACTTTGAAGGATGAAAATAACAAAGAGACCCAAAACAGCAAATCCCAATAATTTCATTCATTTTGCATTCTCAATGATTACGTCTACAATGATAATTATGAAACATGTTCCAAAATAAGATTTCATGATTGAAATCTCCACACAAATCATCACAAGCTTCAGTTTTCAGTAACTGTTCCAAAAAATGACAATGAAACAAAAAGCTTGAGCCTAGGAACAACTGCACTTGCTTCAACGAACTTCCTGACTGGCAATCATTGGTTAAAGTTCGTCGTCCCCCACGTATGCGAAACAAAATTGATTATAGAGAGATCACACTCAAATATTTTTCTGCAAATCAAAACCAGTTCATTCATTCAAAAAAACCTGAATAAAACTTTGCAAATTTCAACCAATAAAAATACTTGTAAATATCAGAATTGCTAAGAGTAATATTAAAAACCCACATTACCTTCTAAATCAGATCAAGACGACATATACTTTCACTAATTGTCACACACCATTTTCAAACTACTTATTGATAAGACTGTCAATTGTGTTCAGCACTCTAAGACATATATGAACCAAATGTGTATCAACAAAAATATGAAGAAAAACAGACAGACAGGACTTAAAATTGAATGTCACCCAAATCTCGCATATGTAATGAGCAATAAATTTCTCGTCGTGCACAAAGATAATTCAGGTACTGCGTCATCTTTACACCCCTCTCTGCATCTCTCGTTAGTGAAGTTATTTCCAAGAAACAGTATACTCAATTTGTTTACTACTTGATACTTCGTTATCAAGATCAACTAAAGGCGAAAAAAAAGTAAAATGAAATGTTGATATGTTTTAACTCATACACAAATTTATTTTTGGCTACATAAAGTATTAAGCACTCAAACTTCCAAAACTTATAAATGTCACTAATTATTAAACTTATCACATTTGCTTGAAAACAAAATATATTGAGCCTATACGACAAAAAAAGCTGCAGTAGCTGACTTCCATAAATATACGCAAATCATAAGAAGTGTTGCATTCAGAAAATAATGTAATGGTATGAAAAAGAGGCGGAAGAGTCAAATGAAACGTGAACCCAATGAACTAGAGATGTATTCGATGTTTTCCAACAAGTACACAACTGGTTCAATCTGAAAAAATTGATCAAAAAATGCTCCAACCGCCTGACAAACTTGGTAAAAACCGGAAAATCAGTGAGACAAAACTTCAAACACAAGCACTATTCATACAACCAGCTGTTAAGCAGTCTGTTTCATTCACAAATTCCTCAGCGAGGCAGCCAGGACAAACTTCAATCTCGCTAGTTCGTAAAAATGTAGCATTTCAAATCTTCATATATGACTATTAATAATGAAGGAAGATTGAATGCACTAGATAAGCTGCAAAAATTGCAGATGTAGAGAACAATCTATTTTGAAACTATCCCTCTTCATAACAGATTGATAACTCTGTCTGGCAAGAATAAACTAATTGCTCACAATTAAAATATTTCAATTTTCCACTCGTGTGGATTGACTGAAACATCATTTTTCTGCATTAAATCTTTTCCACAATTATTTTTAAACTTTTGCAGAAGAAGACAAAAATAACTAACTGAAATGAAACACACAACAAAACAAATAATCTCCTTTCGTTACTCGCATGACAAAGTAATAGTGACAAGAACAAAAGACAGAGGATCAATCTATTATATCGACAGCCAAACTGTGAATAAGATATCCTAATTATAATGCCCATAATGACTGAACTTATGCAAATCAATGACAGATTTGAAAGAAGGATCTAGTTTAAATAATTATCATATAGCAGAATATAAAAACACGCTAGCAACATGGCTGTGAGCTAATGTCTTCCTCTACAACGTTTATAAATTCAACTGAATCTAACTTATATATTGCTGAAAGGGAAGAAAACTCTTTAAATACTTCTTTCTCTCTCTTGAAGTCAGCTTGGAAACAGTGAACGATTGCTGTGGTGAATAGAAATCATCAATCAGAGGGTTCAGATGAGAAGAATCATACATCGATCTGTCCCGCAGACATTTGCATAAATTCAATTTAATTGTGTGTCTTTCCGTTTAGCCACTTTTTAAATCAAGCGATAGGGAACTATAGGAATGTTGTTTGCAGTCAGTCAGTCGTCATATTCCCATCGTTTCTCGTCTTTTCAAAAGAAGAGATGAAAAAGTAAGCCTTAGGCAACTGAAAGCGACAGATGGCCTTGTGCTCTCCACTTATACCTACTGAGATGATGCCAAAATATATCCCTCTCTTTTGAGGACCATAACCTCGATTTCCAAGAAACTTGCACAAGTAAACATTAATTAATTGTTCTTCATTCGACAAAAAGATCAATGAAACATTATTTCATTAATCAATACGTTACAAAAAGATCAATGAAACATTATTTCACTAATCAATACAATACTTATCGGTATGGAAAATGAAGCTTAAGCCATATGGTGTTGCGATACCATTTATTATCTATCAAACCCTATCTTCCCATTTTGAAATGCGAAATGAATAAGTGAAGAAACTGCTGCAGGCAAAACCTAAAGAAGGCACAAGTAGTAGTCAATAATGTCTCACTGACGCTGCAGAAAAGGCCATCATGACAAACTTTTAAATTTTTCAGATAGCTGCTTACTGTTCACTGTTGTCCATAATTTAAGTGAAAGATTAACCTGTATCTTTTGAAACCCTTCCAAACTTGTTCATATATATTTTGGAAAGAAAGTGGTTTTTAATCGGCAGATCGCAAAAATCTACTGTCATCTATTTAAGCAATAAATAATTGTTAAACAGTTTGACATCAACTAAAAGTGCACATTATGTAGAAATGTGAGAAATTATTCAAGTTCAAAAAAAAATGTAAATTAACTAATCCAAAAGTGAGTAAATGATGGCTGAATGAATAAGGTGTAGATGAGTAGAGGGTATGACAATCATCAGCATGAGAAGAACCATCATCACGCAATGACAGATGGAAAGGGACATTTATTTCCATCGCACCCTTATCTATTACTTGCTACCATTTCGTATACTGGTGCGCCAGCAAACCTCCGTGCTCCCTGTACCTAACCAACAACCTTTCTTCAAATTACTTCTCAC